AGTAATATCCCATTGTATGGCTACAGCACAATTTGTTTGTCCATTCATGTGCTGGTGAACATTTGGATTGTTTCAAGATTTTGGTTCTTATTAATATAGCTGCTATGAAAATCCTGTACAAGTCTTTCAGCATACATATGTTTTGCCTTCTCTTGGGTACCTGGAATTGCTGGGGCAAGGGTAGTGTGTATTTCACTTTTTAAGAAAGTCTCTTTTCCCTCTAGGTCTAACTCACAAATAGGATGGCCACCAGTAAGTTCTAGGCATGTGATGGGAATTGCTGCGTCATGTTACAGGATGGGTAGGAGGGATGCCTGTCTCTGTCCTTTGTTAGGAGGCTACACATGCTAGAATGGAGGACAGCCTTACTAAAGTGGAGGCACATATATCATAGCAGTGAAATTCCTCCCAGGTCTTTTCTTTTTTCTTTTCTTTTTTCTTTTTTTTTTTTTTTTTTTTGGTCTCTTTAGAGGCGTCTTCTGGTTTTCCACTGGGAGTAAAACGCCTGTAGCACTTTCTCCATGGGGATGAAGGAAGGAGGAGACAGGCTACGGAGAGCCTGTTGATACCATCATTTGGTAGGCAGATATCCAATTAATCTCCTGCTTCCCTTCCTCACTCCTCCTTCCACATTACTGTCTGACTGAGTCTGAAGCCCCTGCAACTCCCTTCCCTTTGGTCATACCGGTCTGTAGCTTCTGGGCTGCTGCTTCCTCCCTCTGGTTACCTATCTTCTAGAAATTTGTTGAACTCAAATTTGCTGATAGTCCTTCTCCCATTCTTTTCATTTTGCTAAGTGTGTTTATTTTTATTGGGGTCTTGGTAGAAAAAAGAAAAATGTTTATCTTTGGTCTGCAGTCCTCACCTAGAAACTGGTGGATCTGATTCAGTGCAGCAATCTAGCACCAGATCCTACCCCTGAAACTTCTCCAGCCACGCTCAACAATGCCCACTGCCACTTAAACCAAGGCACGCCTTTATGTTTTCACTTACACTCTGTCACATCTGAGACTGCATGACCTCTCTCCTGCCTGAAATGCTCACATGATTTTCACAACACGGCTCTCTCTCGGTTTTCTCCTGCCTTCTGGCCACTTCTTTCAGCCCCGTTTCTATACTTCTTGTTCTCTGCTCTTCACCTTCTCTCACTCTACACATTCTCCCTAGTTCTTGTGACCCAACGTACTCTTGTAAGCGCCACACTTGCAGTGTTCAGACAGCTCCTGTCCTGACAAACCTGCCTTAAGCTACAAGACTCAGACAGACACCCTAAGTGTCCCCACAGTACAAGAGAGCCTACTGTAGAATTTCTCACACTGCACCATATGGCCTGCTCACGGATCTGCTTCCTCCTCCAGCCTTATGCTTCCTGACAGCCCAGAACTGTGAGTTTCTCATCCCCAGCAACTCTCCTAGCATACAGCTGGTGCTCAATAAATATTTGCTGGATTGAATTGAGATCATGGATATGAAAAGGTGCTTTGTGTTTTATACATGTTATTACTGGTAATCAGAGTAAAAAATTTTTACTTTGAAGAAAAAACATGCCAGGTAAAGATAAACCTCAAGCTAATTAAAGAAAATCTAAAATTCTTAGTGCAATACAAATGAATGCCTGTTCATAAACTAATGATGCACATCTTCCTATGAAAATTGCATCTTCTTCATTCCTTGGCACCTCTTTAGAGTCAAACCAATTTAGACGTCTCTGATCAAAACAGTCTCACACCCAAGTTCACAGCAGCATTATTTACAATAACCAAAGGTGGAAAGAACTCTAGTATCCACTGACAGACGAACAGGTGAACAATACGGCATATGCATATACACATACAACGAAATATCATTCGGCCTTTACAAGGAAAGAAATTCTGACACATGCTACAATATAAATGAACTTTAATGATGTTACACCAAGTGAAATAAGTCAGTTGCAAGAAAGACAAATACTGTATGAAGTCATTTACATGAGGTACCCAGAGTCATCAAATTCATAGAAAGAAAGGTAGAATGGTGGTCGCCAGGGGCTGATGAGAGGGAGAATGGGATGTGACTGATTAATGCGTTCAGAGTTTGCTTTTCAAGATGGAAAGAGTTCTGGAGACAGATGGTGTGTGGTAATAGCTGCACAACCATGTGAATGCATACTTAATACCATTGAACTGTACACTGAAAAGCTGTTATGATGATAAATTTCATTATGTGTAGTTTACCACAGTTAAAAATAAAAGAAAAAGTCTCATACACAAAACACTGTATTTTACCAGAATATTTTTGAAGCAAAATTCTGACCTATGTCTACAATGAAAATAATCAAATGGTAGAGTAAAGAGAGGTATGCCAAATGTAAGAAGCACTGTAAAGGACAAAAAAGCAGAATTACAGAATGACAACAATAACAATTGCTGACATTCACTGAAGCTTACTAGATGCCAGGCACTACGCTAAATACTTAAATGCTTTATATAAATTAATTCATTCAAAATGGCTACAAGAGAAATGGGGGGCTTAGAGAGATTAAGTCACTTAGCAAAGGTTTCACAGCTCAAAAGTGGCAGAAATGAGATTCAAACCCAGGCGCTCTGGTCTAAAGCCCATGCTCTGGCCACTATCTGCCTGGGCACTTTGGGATGAGAGGGCTGGGGAGGGGAGCAGAAGGGGATCTCTAAACTTTCCCTAACTTTCAAGTTTAAGAGACAAATGAAAACAAAATCAATTATCTATGGAGTACCTTTTACATGCCAAGCACATATGGCATGTAAGAGATTCAAATCCAATCCTGGATCCGAGGGAATCCACAGTCTATTGGGAGAGGCAGATATGTATATAAATAACCAGGCAGTACATGCCAGGAGCTGCCTAAGAGGTATCAACAGAGGGAAGAGGATGTTTAACACATGGTGTCTCCTGCAAACCCATACAATTCTTGGCAACACAAAGTGATGAATGAATATTGACTAAATGAAATAAAATCAGTACACAAAAATGTATTCTGTCTCAGAATGCATTTGGAGAAGAAAAGATAAAAGAATCAATTTTGCTTTCTTCTCAGAGAAAATAAATTTAACAGATTACGGCAATCATTGAAATTTAAATCACAATAAAAAGGAAACTGACTTTTTGTTCAGATTACACTTTATTTTTAATTAACTAATTAAATTTTTTTTTTTTTTTTTTTGAGATGGATCTTACTCTGTGGCCCAGGCTGGAGTGCAGTGGCCCAGTCATGGCTCACTGTAGCCCTGACCTCCCAGGCTCAAGCACTTTTTCTGCCTTAGCCTCCTGAGTAGCTGAGACTACAGGCATGGGCCACTGCACCCGGGTCTTTTTTTTTTTTTTTTTTCCTATTTGTAGAAACACGGTCTCACTATGTTTTCCCAGGCTGGTCTCAAACTCCTGGGCTCAAGCAATCCTCCCACCTTGGCCTCCCAAAGTGCTGGGATTACAAGTGTGGGCCACTGTCCCTGGCCTTTATACTTTATACTATTTACACTTTAAATAGTTATCACATATTAAAAGGTTACCATATTAAAGATTCTAGGAGACAGATAATGATCACATGAAATTTAAACTACCATATAAAATTCATACTGCAACTAGAACACCCTCATTTTTCTAAACAGAGATGAGAGATTAAGGAAATACACAAGGACACTGGAATGATCAGCTTTGAAACCATGGATTCAAGCAGTTTATCTTGCATCTTCTGTTGCCCTTTAGTTCTCTCTAGACTTAACATCTATCATCCTCCCCACAGCATTCCATGTAAACATTTGCTAATGTGCTAATGCCAAGAATTGGAGAGACGTCTCATTTCCAGAGGCTTAAAATAATGGCTACTTGCTGCACTTACCTCAAAATCATATTGGCACCTTCTATACTAAGATACTAAGTTTTAATTTTTTTCACTGCACTATTAAGAACTTCTACGTTAGTGTAGTCATGCGCCACATAACGACGTTTTAGTCAACAATGGCCTGCATGTACGCAGTGTTCCCATAAGATCATAACAGACCTCGTGATAGCATGGTGTCTTTGCAGCACAAAGCATTACTCTTACTTGTTTGTGGTGATGCCGGTGTAAACAAACCTACTGCACTACCAGTCCTATAAAAGTCTAGCACATACAATTATGTACAGTACATAATATCTGATAACGACAATAAACAACTGTTACTAGTATCTACATTTACTATACCATATTTTTCACGGCTTTTTAGACTATACTCCTTTTCCATATATATATATATAAATTTAACTGTAAAAGAGCCTCAGGCAGGTCCTTCAGGAGGTATTCTAGAAAGCACTGTTATCAGAGATGACAGTTCCATGCATGTTATTGCCTGTGAACACCTTCCAGTGGGACATGATGTGGAGATAAAAATCCTGACCCTCTGTAGGTCTAGGTGAATGTGTGTGTGTATCTTAGTTTTTAACAAAAAAGTTTAAAAAGTAAAAAAAAAAGTAATTTTAAAATATTAAATTAAAATACTAATGTTAAAGTAGAAAAGAGCTTAGAGAATGAGGATATAAAGAAAGAAAAGGTTTTTGTATAGCTATATAATGTGTTTGTGTGTTTAAGCTAAGTGTTATTATAAAGTCAAAAAGTTAAAAACCTTATAAAGTAAAAAAGGTTACAGTAACAACTCACTGACTCACCCAGAGCAACTTCCAGTCCTGCAAGCTCCATTCATGGTAAGTGTCCTAGACAGGTGTACCAGTAAAAAATCTTCTACACTGAATTTTTTACTATACCTTTTCTATGTGTAGACACATAAATACTTACCATTGGGTTACGATTGCCTACAGTATTCAGTACAACAACATGCTGTACAGGTTTATAGTCTAGGAGCAATAGGCTATACCATATCCTAGGTGTGGAGTAGGCTACACCATCTAGGTTTGTGTGAATATACTCTGTGATGTTTGCACAGAGAAGAAATTGCATTTCTCAGAACTTATCCCTGTTGTTAAGCAATGCATAACCATATATACTATACCTTGTCCCAATATCAAGCCAGCTGCCATAATCCTTGACCAAGAAGAAAAAATGCTGTAAGAAAAAAAAGGCTCAATTAAAAACAAACCTATTTAGATTCAGTCTAAAAACAAAGTTATTTTAGGACGGTATGTTTCAGATTTCTGACTCTAACAATCACTAGCTGACTGTAGTCAACAAGAATATGTCATTTACTGAAACGTTTGCTTGTATTAGAATTAGTAGTAGTCTAAAATCCAGAAATAGAATTATCAATCAAATGAACAAGAAAGTGGCATTTCTGAATAACTAGAAATGAAGAACAAGCCAACATCAATTAAAAAAAAAAAGAAACTAGATAATACTAAAGATGTCAGTGGAAAGATGTCATGTCATCCATCTATCAACAAATATTTACTGTACTGACTACCTACTGTGTGCCAATCACTGTCTTAGGTGCTGGAGATAAACTCCTCCTCACAAGGCATAGGCTCTACTAAATAATTCAGTCAAATTATCGGGTGTGTGTGTGTGTGTGTGTGTGTGTGTGTGTGTGGGTGTGTGTGAGCAGGGGACAGAGGGAGTGCTATCATTGGAAAATATAGGCAATTATAGAAACAGAGGAAGGGGTTCATACCCTGATTAGGATGGAGGGGAAGGCTTCCCAATGGAAGGTGAAATCTAAGTAAAAAGTAGGAGTCAGATGAAAGGAGTTTTGGAGAGAAAGAGGTTTCTGGCAGAGGGAATAGCCTATATACACATCAAGAGTCCATAGAGAGCTTGGTAGTGTCAAAGTGAGGATGGTGTAGAGACAACAAGGATGGAGAGGCAAGAGAAGATGCCAATCAAATGGGCAGAAGCTATATCACAAATGACTGTTCAAGTTAATTTAGGCAATCTTTTCTATATAAAATTAATCAGAATTTCAACCCTCTTCTATTAACATGTCTGTTTGTCACTTTGCACAAAACTGAAAACTGATTTGTTCTCACATAATGTGTGGTCAGTTTCAGAAATACAATGAATAACAGTTCAATACCACACAAAAATACCCTCATCTAAACCAAGTGACTAGGAATCTGATTTGGGAAGCTACCCTTATTGGTATTCCTAGTTACTTCTGGCATGGGATGTTATATGGTGATGAATTAACCTTACCCAAAAAGACCGCTGGTGTTTGTTCTCAGCTACTGGGCGGCGATTTCTAGGCCCTTGGAATGTCATGCCTTATAGAAGGTTCTGCCTGAGGTCTTGGCCGCTGGACAGTCTAACAATGTGATGTATGATAAGGGCTTTGGGCCATATTACCAGCTGTATCCCCAGAAGGGATTAAAGGTCAGCCAGGTAGGCAGTATGTGATCAAACCCCACTAAAAAGTCTGGACAACAAAGCTTAGGTAAGCCTGGTTGGCAATACTCCATGGGTACTGTCACACATCAATAGCGGGAGGCTAATGCTGTCCTGATTCCACAGGGAGAAACAGAAACTTGGAATTTGGTGTCCTGGACTCTGCCCTATGCCCTGGAATAAATTGTAACTGAATATAACAGCATTCAGTGAGTTCCGTGAATTCTAGTGAATTACTAAAGCTGAGGGTGGTCTTGGGAACTCCCCAGACTTGTAGACATAAAATAGGTTCCTCTTTTTGTTAATAAGAGAGGCCTACCTACCTGCATCAGAACTCATTTATTGCAGCCACATCTTGATTAACACCTTCCCAATAGAAAAGCTGCATTTCCTTTTTCCTTCCTTCCTTCCCTCTCCCTTTTCCTTTCATTTTTAATCTGAGAGAAGGGTTAAAAATCAACATTTCAATAGAAAAATGATGTATTATCTAAATTTAAAGTTAGCTTTTTCTGTTAATTTCCCTTGGAAGGTTCATTTCAGATACAAAGCAACATGGAAGACAAGGTATGACAGATTCGAATAAACCAAGTAGTAAGACTTTTGACACCTGAAGAAGAGCACACAACCTGTATAATAACTAATATAAAACAACAAAATTTATATGTGTAAATTATTCTAGCACTTACAACTCAATATCTAAAGATTTCATGTACCAAAATGCATTCATATTTCTCTTTATTAAATTAACCCAGGACTCTTAATCTAATTTATATGGACTACCCAGTAATGCCTTACCAAAGCCATAATGTCTGATATGACGAGAACAATGAGAAAAAGGCTGGAAAAAAAAAAAAAGAAGGAAAAATTACATATAGTACAACAGGTGCATTTTTCAAGCTCATTAAAATCCAAGTGAGACTAGGCAAATAACCTAATATTGTTGATACTTTTGCTTCTGAAAATACAACTTAAAAGGTTCTTTTCATATTATCACAGGTGACCACCCCATAGAGATGAGCTGGACTGTAAAACGTGTTATTAAGTGCTCTGAATATTTATTTCAGTAAAATGAAAGGGACATACATTATGATTTTCAAAACTAAACTTTTGAGATAATTGTTAACTAATATGCAATTTCAAGAAATAATACAGAGGGATCCTCTGTACCCTTTACCCAGTTTCCCCCAGTGAGAAGATCTTGTAAAACCATGGTATACTATCCCAAGCAGGACATTGACACTGATACTGTCCAGATAAGGAGTGTTCCCATCATCACAAAGATCTCTCATGATGCCCTTTTAGAGCCACATGTGTCCTCCCCTCACCATCCCTCTGCCTAATCCCTCACTCCTGAGAGCCACTAATCTGCTCTCCATTTCTATAATTTTGTCATTTTAAGAGTGTTTTATGAGTAGAATAACGTACATAACAAGTTAAACAATTTATATAACACTCTGTTACCTTTTGTAACCTTCGAGGATTGGCTTTTCCCACTCAGCATAATTTTCTCAAGAATCCTCCAAGGTGCTGTGTGTATCAATGGTCATTTACTTTTATGGCTGAATAGTACTCCATCATATGGATATACAATGGTTTACTTAACCATTCAAGCACCAAAGGACATCAAGGCTTATTTCTACTTGTGGCTATTGTTACAGTTTGCGGCTCTTACAAATAAAGCTGTTATAAACATTTGTGTCTAATTTTTTGTGTAAACCTTTCATTTTTCTAGGAAAATACATCAAGAGTGCAATTGCTAGGTCATACAACAGTAGTATGTTTAGTTTATAAGAAACTGTAAAACTCTTTTCAGAGTGGTTTGTACCATGTTACATTTCCACTAGCAATGCATGACAGCAATTTCCTTACATCCTCAACAGCATTTGGTGATGCCACTATTTGTTTTTAACTGTTCTGATAAACTGTTCTGATATGTGTATAATGATATTTCATTTTTTTAAAAAATTCTTTTTTGAGATGGAGTCTTGCTCTGTTGCCCAGGCTGGAGTGCAGTGGTGTAATCTCGGCTCACTGCAACCTCCGCCTCCCGGGTTCAAGCGATTTTCCTGCCTCAGGCTCCCGAGTACCTGGGACTACAGGCACATGCCACCACGCCCAGATAATTTTTGTATTTTTAGTAGAGATGGGGTTACACCATATTGGTCAGGCTGGTCTCGTACTCCTGACCTTGTATCCACCCACCTCGGCCTCCTAAAGTGCTGGGATTACAGGCGTGAGCCACCACGCCCGACCCACTGTGGTTTTTATATGCATTCCTTTAATGGCTAATCATGCTGAACAACTTTTCATTGGCTTATTTGCCATCTGTATATCTTCTTAAGGTGTTTTGCTCACTTTCTAATTAATTTCTTTTTACTGTTTAGTTTTGTGCATTCTTTATATATTCTAGATACTAGTCTTTTTTCAGATACCTGGTTTGTAAATATTTTCTCCCAGTATGTAACCTATGTTCTCACACTCTTAGCAGGGTCTTTCACAGAGCAAAAACTTATAATACTGAAGAAGTCCAGTTTATCACTTTTTCCTTTTATGGGTTACAATTCTGATGTCAAGCCTAACTCTTTGCCTAACCCAAATCCCAAGGATTTGCTCTATTTTTTTCCTAGAAGTTTAAATCTGTGGTCCACTTTGAGTTAATTTTTGAATAAAGTGTAAGGTTTTGGTAGAGATTTGTGACTTGTTTTTAAGAAATAATTGTTTTTCTAACCATTGGTTTGAAATAAAGACATGTAACTCAATAGTTCACATATGCAGATATATACCACAAGTCAGACCGATGATATCTTACTGAAGTATAATTTCATTCAGACACATAATAAAGTGTGTTAATCTGATTAAGAGTTTGTAGAGAATGCAATGGTCATCCAGTACAACCTTCTACGTAAAGCATGAATTCCCAAAGTATCAATCCCAATAAAGGCATTGTCTAGCACTAGTTTTAGTGGTTGCAGCAACAGAATCCACTCCATTTTCACAGCTCCAATTACTGCAGAGTTCTTTCTTCTGTGAATCAAAGCACAACAATAATTCTACCCTATGGACCCAGTTCTTCTGGAATAGAAAAATAATAAATACAATTCAAAAGACCTTTAGAATAAGTGTGGTGGCTCACGCCTGTAATCCCAGCACTTTGGGAGGCTGAGGTGGGAGGATCGCTTGAGGCCAGGAGTTCAAGACCAGTCTGGCCAACATGGTGAAACCTCGGCTCTCCTAAAAATAGAAAAACTAGCCAGGCATGGTGGCACATGCCTGTAAGCCTAGCTACTACAGAGGTTGAGGCATGAGAATCGATTGGATCTGGGAGGTGGAGGTTGCAATGAGGTCATACCACTGTACTCCAGCCTGGGTGACACAGTGAGACTCTGCCTCAAAATAAAACCCCAAGAAAACAAAACAAACAAACAAATGAACAAAAAGACCTTTAAAAAACCTTTACATACCTTTTTCAAAAAGTTTTGATTTTTTGGAAATATTATTTTTATTTTTCTAAAGAAAATTATATTACTGTGTGACACAGATGATGTTCTGGGATACTTGTGAAATTAAGACACATCTGATTAAGTTATTTATTGTCTTCTCAGCCTCAGTTTCCTTATCTATAAAATGGTCGTAATAATATCTATATTTCCTAGTATCATTGGAAAAATTAAGTCAGGTAATATGTGGAAAGTACCTAATACAGTGCCTGACATATGGTATTTGCCTAGTAAATATTGGTTTCATTCTCATTCCTTAAACAAAAGCTTTAAATGAAATTAAAGATATAATCTCTCCCCTTATGGAGTTCACAAGGTGTGTATTAGCTAGAGTTGCCATAACAAAGTACCACAAATTGAGTGGCTTAAACAACATAAATTTCCTCATAGTTCTGGAGGCTGGCAGTCCATGATCAGTGTGTGAGCAGGGTCGGTTTTATTTGAGGTCTCTTTCCTTAGCTTGTAAATGGCCATATTCTCCCTTAGGTTCACATGTCATCTCTTCTGTGTTTGACTGTGTCTTAATCTTTTCCTCTTATAAAGACATCAGTCATATTGGACTAGGACCCACTCATATCACCTCATTTTACCCTAGTTATCTACTGAAAGGCCCTGTCTCCAAATTCAGTCATATTCTGAGGTACTTGGGGGTCAGGACTTCAACATAAGAATTTTAGGGGACACAAATCAGCCTCTAACTGCGTGTGAAACACAAAAGTAAGAAACAATTTTATCAGCCACAGTCTGAGTTACCTAACTTAGCCAGAAATTTGAGGGTGGAAGGATTCTGGAGAGTGGAGCAGTTGGGTAAAAAAAGTTTAACAGAGAATAAGATCCCTGAACTAAGTCTTAATTAAAAAGAAGGAAAAAGATTTTCCAGAGCAAATCTTCATATTCTTGAACCATTTTGTGGAAACTGAAGAACCCAGAAGTAAGCCTGCTCAAGGTCACACAGCTAGTAACGGTAAGTCTTAGACTTATAACAGCAAGTCTGGCCGCAGAGCCTGTGCTCCAAACCATTACGCACACTGCCTCCCCATGGCTCTACTGACTCTCAGAGGCCTTCAGCATCTTCATCACGTTCCTGTGAATGTGTCCCAGGTTCCCTTGTTTATTCATGTGCTGCCCAAATGCGAAGGCATAAATGTAACACACTATTCAATATTCAAGGTGATCTAATTTTAAGAAGGATAGGGTTATCATTTCCTTGCTGTGAATACAATAATTTTATTAAAGGCAGGTTAGTTATATGGTATTATTTGATCTCCAAGATGTTTTGAAGCTACTATGTACCTAGATCCCATGAGTTTCCTCATAAATACATTTTTATTCAAGAAATAAATACCTGCTACTGAGTTTTTATCCAACTGATAATAAATATTACTTAATCATCCCCATCGAGCCACTGTGATTGTTCACTTGCAAGACCCTTAACTGATCTCCCTGCTCTTATTCTTGTCCTCCTAAAGTTATTATCCATGCAACAGACAGAACAGCCTTCAAAACCTACCAAAGGCTTCTTGCCACAACTGAATAATACTGAAGTCCTATCTGTGGCCTAAGTGGCCCCTTATGTTCTGCCCCTGCCAATCTCTTCAACTTTATTTCCTACAATTCTTCTGCTAGCACAGTCTGCTTAAGGCTACCTTTCTTGCTGTTCTCCAAATACACCAAGCATGTCTTCAACTCATGCCCTTTGTACGTTTCACTCCTTCTACCTGAGTGAACCATGAAACTATGGGAGTAAAGACTATGTTCAGGTTTTTGCATAAATTGCTTCTCCTTAGAGCGGTCTCCCTGGACCACTTCATTTTTTCCCCTGACATTTAACACTACTTAAAATTTTGTTATGACAAGCATTTTATTTTCTTTGTCTCCCCAGGTAGACAGTAAGCTCTGTTCACCAAATGTAACAACAGCAGCCAGTACAGTGCCCGGTATATTATACAAACTCAAATCCTATGTGCTGAATGAATAGTAGGAGTAATTAGCATAAACTAAAACTGAAAATGGCTAATGCTACACATTGTGAAATTTGCTTTAGATTTAAGACTGACTTAAGAACCTTTTCCTTTTGATTTCACAGAACACAAAAAATCTGATCCACGAAAAATTAGACCTGGTAGAAACACCACCAAATAACATTGTAGAAGGCTAAAACCACACAGAATAAAATCTGTAACTAACAAAATAATGATGGAAGAAGCAAATCTTAACAATAATCAGATCTGTAATATCTAATCTAGGTGAATGAGACCTGGTAGATATGATAACTATAGAAGGGAAAAAAAAACACTGGGAGGAGCTGAAATCCATAGACTTTAAAATAAACAAAAACAACCCAAAATTTTTCTGAAAATTAATAAAAATAATTTTAATAAATTAAAAATCAAAATAGAAATACTTAAAAGTAATTTACTTCTACTTCATAGTGATTTAAAAATTAAGCTGATTTAATAGAGTGCCCATAGGAAAACACTCTCCCAATAAAAGTTATTCAATATTATAATAATTCTGATTCAAATCTAGATTCCTAAATATGCGAGCATAACATTTTGGAGATAAAAACACCCATTAGAACAAAATGATATATTCAAAATTGGAGTAAAATTATTTTCACTTCAATTAATACAGGGCATGAGAAAACTAGCTTTTTGGCTGCTAGATCACATTGTTGACAACTGCTATTTCCAAGTTTTTTTTTTTTCCCCCAATCCCTGCCGGGTAGCCATGGCTCTTGTACAGTTGAGTACTTAATCAAACACAGAACTGAAAAATCATCCCTTTCAGATCTTATATGGTTGGTTGTTGAATACTTCTATAATACTAAAACTTGTTTCTCTTTCTCAGCAGCCTTCGAATTTCTCTCATGCTTTGCTGCATTCTGAAGGTGACAAAGGTCTTCATGGTCCATGTCATCTCAAACTGTGAAATGAACTGGCCACAACTGTGACACTTCTGGCAGGTTGTTTCACACCCCCACACCTCCCTTTTCCCTAACCCCCTTCCAGTTTACAATGAATGTGTGCCAGACAGAGTTCTGGCCATAGAGACATAGTCAGAAATCTGCTACATGGGGCCTTTGGGAAAGACACTGCTACCCTGACAGAAAAGGAGAATCAGCTGACATATCTCCTTGCCTTTTTCCTCATTAGTCCTTTTCCCTTGTTCCTGTCTGGATGGCAGATGAGATATGATGGCAGATGGAGGCGTGATGAGAAAAACACGAGGGTAAAAGCAACAATCTAAGAATCTTCCATTCTTAGGAATACAGAAAAGCAGGGTTGCTGATGGCATCACAGAGTTGTGGGCTGCTAACCTCCAGACTCCATGTGACATGAGGACATAAATCTCTATTTCTCTTCGCTACTGTTAGATTTTCATTGCTTACATCCATAAGCATTCTTAATGGATAAGCTATCAGGTAATCTTCATGCACAGCTACTATCTTTTTGTGGTCTCTACCCAAAATTTACAAGGTTTTGTTGATGAACCCAATTATTAAGACTGAGACACTAGATAAATTATTAATAATTAGAAAAGTAAATTTTAAGTCATGCAAAAAAATGTTAATACAACTTTTCTACTTCACTTTTGTTCCATACACATTTTAAGGAGTGAGTCGGAAGAGAAGAAGAATCATTTCACTGGTTTGTTATATTGAACTCGTCCTTGGCATTATAGATCTAATAAATAAATAAGTCATTAGTATATATCTCCACCCCCATCTTAACCGTAGGCTTCCAACAGTTGTAAGAAAATGATTAGCAACATAAATAATAAGACTGTAAAAAGGTCAACAGAAAGGAGAGATGTTATCAGTGATTATTTGGTAAGTGCTACGGCAGTGAGGGTAGCTGGACTTCAGCTTGTGTGATGGATTAAATAAAGAAAACAGGATGAGAAGTTAATTTTCAATAGCAAGAAAAGGCATCGCTAGGATCAATGTGTGACATTAAATTTGATGAGTCAGTGTGATATCCAGGAAGAAATGTCAGTGACTTCTGAGTTTAAAGGTCAAAAGAGACCTTTCTGAGCCACCTTTGCCTCAGTTCTCTCCTGCTGTGTTTTGTTTTTCATTGCACTAGTTTCTAGATAGCATTACTATACACACGTACAAATATAAGAATACATACACACATACACTTTGGTGTGCCTTCTATTTCTTATTCCACATGTCCCCAGTTCTTCTTATTTAAACCTTAATTAAAATCCCTTCTAAAAATCTTATCCACCAACAAAGATGCAGGAAAGTACACGTCATTCACCAGTTTTTATTGCATCTAAGTAAATATCTCTTATGTGATATTGACAAGGCATAAATACTCTCAATATTAAATTCATGTAAATATCTTGCAAAAATATACTAAAACTAGAAATGAGAGTTCTAGTATTCTTAAGCAGTGGAAGAAAAACTTTTTTCTTTATGGCATATGCATAATACTATGCTAAACCCAGTTCTAGCTTATACTCATCAAGAAAAACATGCAAATTTATGCTAATATTAGTTATTTCTTTCAGCATTGAGTATGCTAGTTTAATTCAAGAATAAAAAAACTGCTAAGCTTCATATTTATATCAAGTATTTTCCAGAGTCCCTGTGCTGATAAGGCAATTTTATTGGTTAAAAAAAGCAAATAGTTGAGTTGACAGCTTTTCTTCCACAGTCTTGATTGCTTAAGACGGACTGCTCCAGAAATTCCTCAAAACTCAGAAAGAATACTTCCCACTCCATTTGTCAGATGTGTAGAAATCATAACTGAGAAACTAAGTATATTTTTGACACTTAGAAAAGTTAATTTTAAGTCATGGAAAATGAAATAATGTTCACACATTTATCTAATAACATATTTAAGAAACAAACCAAAATAAGTTAGAGTATCTTTTGCTTTTTGTAGGCACAGTTACAATAAGTAATTAACTACAATAATTTAACATTTATGTTTTACTGTTTTCTAGGGAGGTTCTTCACTAGCTTGAATAATATTCTAATAACATTTTATTGCTGAGAAAGCAAGCTTGTCTGCTAGAGGCCCTAATCAACTAATTTCCTCTAATGAGTTGCAACACTGACTAAACGGGTGAACATTTTCTCATTTGTGTAATAAACAATCTACGTTACAGTGTCTTAATAGCAATCACATGAAATGTCTTCAAATGTTTACTCTCATCTCCTAAAAATAGGCAAATCAAATGTTTCTTAAACGAATTCATCTTACCTTTTTGACGATAACTGAGTAGTCAACTGAACCGCTTCGAAAGCACACATAACAAGAACAAAGGGGATTAAAATCTATAAAAGAACAATAAATGATGCCATGAATAACTGAAGCATTTGAGACACTTTTTGAAAAAACTACTATTTCTGCTTACAGAAATATTTTCAATTTCTCAAGTAACTTTTATATATACTAGTGAAAAGCAAACACTGAAATAAAAGCAAGATACCAATGGCACATAGAACAGTGATGAAACTGACTTAAAAACCTACATTAATAAGCTATACAATGTAAAAGACAGCAAACACCAATACATATTCCAAATAAAAGCCTATTACAAATTTTGTTCCATTTAATGTATTCTAATAATTAACAACAAGGTTCAAAAGATTCCAAGAGGGTGTGAAAAACACAGAATGCCCAAATCAAATAAATTATATAACGTGATAATTTGATTCACAGATCCTTAAACCCATCTGGTTATTTAAAACTATAACATCATAAACATGATTCAGCTTCTCAATCATTGCTTTCTGTTTTTTTAAAAAAATACATTTATTTGTGATTATAAAATTCATACTCATTATAACAAATTTGAAAAAAAATTATAAAACATTTGAAATAAAGCCATAGCAAAATTTATGCTGGTTGAAAATCCATAATCCAGAGCGAATACTGTTAATATCTTGAGGTATTGCTTTCCAATTATCAATTTTGAAAAAATATATAACTTGACGTTTCAAAAAAGGGGGAGATATAGAAAATAAATGATGTTCAAGACTGCATAAAGTTATTTTTCAAGTGAAGGACATATGGATAAAATAGAATTCAGCAGGGCCCTCACTTCTAGACACATCAGTCAACAAAAGTCATCAAGTGTATTATGTCATTAAAGCTTACTGCTTTGTGCTAGAGATTAAGAACCCAGCATTTTAATATGAGCTTTGTTTTTCTCTCCCTCCCTTCCTTCCTTCCTTCCTCCCTCCCTCCCTCCCTCCCTCCCTCCCTTCCTTCCTTCCTTCCTTCCTTTTCTTTCTTGTTTTTAATTAAAGGTCCATGGTCTTTAATAAATTGGGAAAAAAAAGTCACCATTTTAAAAATGTGAATGAAAATTAAGGAAATAGCAACATGTTTTAAAATAACTCAGTAGAAAACAGGACATGAGAAAATGAACATCTTTTTAACATTTCTTAAACTTCCATTTGTATTAGTGTAGTAACAAAAAGTAGACATTAATCCTATTAAGATGACACCTTTAATCATTTTTATTTATAAATCTGAACATTACGTAATCAGATTTTAGGCAAGTATCAGCTTAGTTTATTTAAACAAATATATACTAAATAAAATGTGTCAGGCATTATGGTAAAGGGAATAAAACAAGCATAATTATCTTAGAGAAGAAGAACAAGAATTACATTATAATGAAGAATCTGAACCCCTGGAAAGCTGAAAATTGTCATTATCTTTGTATTGTCAGCACCCAGCTAGTATCTAGCACATTACTGAATATAGCAGAAAATGACATTTGTTGAATGACTCGATCAATTCTAGGTACATGGATTATGAGAAAAGATTATGTTGGCAATCTCATACGTAGAGAACATGGGTTCAGGGAACCTTATACTCTTTAGCAGCACTGCAGTTTGATCCATAGCTTCCCACAGGCTTTAATCACATCTGATAAGATCCTCTCAAATTAACAGTTGAATCCCTACTCTTTTGAAGTCCAATGCACTTATGAGTAAAGCAAAAAGATTAACTGTGGTTTGGAGTAAGGATTAGAGGGTCTCACCTCCAATTTAGCAGTGCCAACTATGAAAGGATATCTTCTTTCCATTGCTACTTAACTCTGTCGAAATGACTTTACAATCTTAATTAATCAATAGCTTAATACGAATAACAAAATAAGAAAACTAACCTTCCACATCATCAGGGCTCCCATCATGAAAGGACTGAACACAGTCAGAAAGCAATAGACAGAGGCAAGATCAAAGCTAGGGAATTGTAACAAGGAAAAAGGATTTAGAATTCACTCTGTAAGTTTAAAAGAATGTTCTTCTAAAAAGATGTTTAAACTAATTCTCTGAAATCTACTTACTAAAACATAAGCAAACATCATATTATGAAGCCACTAAAATGAACGCAGTAGATCTGAATGTGCCAATACATACCAATCTCCAAAATATATCATTCAGTATAAAAAGAAAGGTACAGGCTGGGTGCCGTGGCTCATGCCTGTAATCTCAGCACTTTGGGAGGCCAAGGTGGGTGGATCACCTGAGGTCAGCAGTTTGAGACCAGCCTGACCAACATGATGAAATCCCATCTCCACTAAAAATACAAAAATTAGCCAGGCATTGTGGTGGGCGCCTATAATCCTAGCTATTCGGGAGGCTGAGGCATGAGAATTGCTTGAACCCGGGAGGCGGAGGCTGCAGTGAGCCAAGATCACACCACTGCACTCCAGTCTGGGCAACAGAGTAAGACTCTGTCTAAAAAAAAAAAAAAAAAAAGGTAAGGTACAGAACAAAAGGTATAGAAGTCCTAGGTTGCATTATTTTTTGGTTATACATATGCCACTTTCATTTAAAATTACCTGTTAATAGAAGCTATATTTCCAGTTCCAAAAAATGCTGTCACTAGGAAGAAAACCTAAAGGAAGTCAAGGAAATGGCAAAACAACTCAGATTTCATACAAATTTCCTTTTCATTTGGAAAAGATATGCTAATTTTACCTTGAGAGTAATTTGCTTTTTTACTTGCATATTGACCATGAATTGTTTTCAGTGAACATTCCATTATATCTCCTTGTCAATGCATTTTAAAACAGCCAGATTGAAGAGGCAGTGTACTGAGAATAATGAGGCCTGAGAGGTCATCCTCACTCAGTCCCTAGTAACCTTAGGAAGGTTATTTTCCTCTTCCCTAACATGAGCAAGGTGGACCATATCTGTAGTTGGCTGCTAGTGATTTTTTTCAAAAGGAAAACGTGGATCTAGGGTATAACATAGACATTTTCAGCTGAAAGACACGGTTATAGTCTATATATGCTTGCTGTAAACCCACCACATGTTAAACACATGCTAGACTGCTTGAAAGGCTCAGGAAGAAACAAGATACCATTTCAAAATAATTCAATAGAGAATGACACATGAGAAAACACTGAACATCTTTTTGACATTTCTTAAACTTACATTTGTATTAGTAAAGCAATAAACATTAATATTAACCTTAGCGTCCAAGAACTTACTGCTGGCAAAGCACTTAAAATGGTGCCTAGCCCACTGAAAAGGCTTGATAAGTTTTAGCTCTTTTATTACTATAGATACCCACAAAAAATGGTGAAGCAACACTGAAGAGGAAGTATGAATCATGACAATTTTCAGTGAAAAAGAGGCATTTGAGTTGGTGAGTTGAGCCTTAAATGTATTCATGGATTCAGTGATTCAACCAATCATCTAACCAACCAATGTTTATTGTCTAGTATATGTCAAAGATAGAGATAGGCACTAAGAATATAAACATAAATAAAATAGTCTCAAAATACTCAAATGGTGACTAAGATATGATGACAGAAATAGAGGAGAGACATTTTAAGGTAAAGAACAGTGAGAAAAAAATGACACCGCCAAGAAAGAGTAAAAAGGTTTGATAGGAACTTAGACTTTATTGAAGGATATGGTGAAAGATGAAGCAAGAAATATAGATTAGTGGCATATTAATAAAAAGCCTGAACTTGGCCGGGAGTGGTGGCTCATGCCTGTCCTGTAATCCCAGCACTTAGGGAGGCCGAGGCAGGTGGATCACGAGGTCAAGAGATTGAGACCATCCTGGCCAACATGATGAAACCCCATCTCTACTAAAAATACAAAAATTAGCCAGGCCTGGTGGCGCATGCCTATAGTCCCAGCTAGTCAGGAGGCTGAGGCAGGAGAATCACTTGAACCCGGGAGGCAGAGGTTGCAGTGAGCCGAGATCATGCCATTGCACTCCAGCCTGGCGACAGGGTGAGACTCCGTTTGTTCTTGTTGTTGTTGTTGTTTTTAAAGAAAGCCTGAACTTCATTGTGGATACAGTGAAGAGTAGAAAATCTTTTAGGCTGGTGTTATAATCAAGAAACACCAGTAACTGTGTGATATTCAGATAAGGGAGACAAATAATTGGACGCAGAAAATTTAAGTAGGGAGCAATTTCGGTAGTCCATATTAGAGATAAGGAAGTGTGAACTGATGCAGTGGGAATGAAGATCAAGAGTGAAGGAAGCTACAGGGACTTTAGAAGTGGACAAGGAGCAGTTAAATATGACAACAAGTTGGACGTCTTGGGGACAGGGAGTATGGTGATGCCATTAAATGAGATAAGGCCTGCCAGAGAGAGTGACTTTGAAGAGAAGTGGCAGTTGTTAATCAGTTTGGGACATATATTTGGTGATGCCCAGCAGAATGTTAGACATGTGGTCCTTCAGGTCACGAGACAGGTCAAGTTTGGAAAAACAGATCTTAGAGTTGTTTGCAAAGAAGTGTCCACCAAAGTTACAGGAAAATATGGCATAAACCAGGCACAATAAGAGAAAGTTAATGGTGGAGCATGGAGAAAAAAATATGGCTGAAGATCAGGCAAAGGAAGTAGTTATAGAGAAGAATAGAAATGATATAAAAATCTTAGAAGAAAACTTGTACTGTGTCCTGGATGTGAAGGGAAAAGAAAGAGAAAACATAGACTTGAATGTTAAAGTGTGGTCAGGTAAACTGAATAGATTTGAGTGATCAGGAAACCCCTGCAGACCACTGACAGTACAACTTTGGCAGAGACATCTGACAAATACTGATAGAGCACTACTATGTGTCAGGCATTGTTAGAGGTCTGGACACGGTATATACATGGAGAGAAAATAATGGCATCAACTATAAATTTTTCTTTCAAAAAATTAAACAGAAAAGACAAGATGAAATTATAATTTAGGGAAATGCAAGGATCAATGGGTAAAGTGCTTTATTAGTATTAGCTGATTGGAAAGAACCTGTAAAGAGAGAAACAAAGCAAAACAGAGTGAAAGCAAGAGACAGAGAGGATGGAATAGTTATTTTCTGTACCTGAGAGGTCTAGACTCTGCACCATGGACAGCTCAAAGGAAATGCCTCCAATACTTACAAGCCATGTATCTGATAAGGGGCTAATATCCAAAACATACAAGGAACTCCTACAGCTAGCAAAAGTAAAATAGTCACACCTAGAAAAAGAGAGTAGAATGATGGTTGCTGAGAGGGCTGAGAGGAGAGGGGACAGGGGAAATGTTGGTGAAAGGGTATGAAGTTTCAGTCGTGCAAGATGAATAAGGTCTAGAGATGAAATGTACAGCATGGTGACTATAGTCAGTAATATTGTACTGTATACTTGAAATATGCTAAGAGAGTTGATCTTAAGTGTTCTCACTGCAAAAACAGAAAGAAAAAACAGTATGTGAGGCAACAGATACGATGACTGGCTTGATTGTGGTGATCATTTTACAGTGTATACATATATCAAAACATCAAAATATACACCTTAAATATATACAATTTTTGTCAATTATACTTCAATAAAGCTGAATAAAATAAAGGAAATATATCCCTATGATTTCTTGCAGCTAGTCAGTGAGCCTTTCCAAACTAAGACTTTCCTCTGCCATACTGTCTTTCAAACTTCTACTACTAACAACTTTCACAACATTGCCTCCGAGGTGATCCAAAAACCTTTGTGAGACAGATGTTATGTAATATGAGTTTAGAATAAAAGGCACATAAAAAGATATGAACTCATAATTGTGCTGTCTTCCAGGATGAGAGAAATTAGATTGAAGTTGGGAGCTGAAAGACTTTAGCTTTAGCTCTAATGTTTTAATTTCTTAAAAACACATTTTTAAAAAAACATATGTGACAAAATACTAATGGCTAATATCTTGAATAGTAGGAACATATATACATACGTATCATTCTTTATACTTTTCTATAGTTCAAAAAATGTTTTAATGTGAATTACATGAGAAAACTATAGTTCAGGGAGGTTAAACTACTTAATACCACTATTAAGTGATGGGCAGAAACACCTTCCATGTCTTCTTACTCCATTAAGTGGGAGTTGCAGCTCTTTAAACCAAAGTCTCAACAAAGGATACAAGGAAAAAGGCCCTACGGATGTCATCCAGATACAGCTGTCGAAACTGAGTTATATCAGTATTATAAGAGAACTGGATACTGGTAAGCTGTGAGATAATAAGAAAAATATTAATGCACAATAACAGTTGACTTATTTCTATATTTTAGGCAAACTTACAATGGCTAAGTTACAATGGCTAGAAACATGCCCTGTGTTGACAAAAAAATAAAAAACAATAAATCTTTCCCTAGGGTTTAATTACACCTTAATAAAATCTGTCAAGAGGTAAAATAATATATAGAATACAGCTGTAGTGTTGCTATATGTGTAATAAAAGTGAGAATTGAGCTTTTTCTTATCTTATATAAATGCATCATTTTAAAATTACTATATAAATTCTTCCCTTTTCAAATACTAATTTCTCAGAGTGTCCTGATCATCTTAAACCTAGATATGGTATCATATTAAAAGGCATGGTAAAATTAAACGTTTGTTTATTTGTCCCTCTATTAATTCTATTTGCAGAGAAATTTTCTTTCTGTAAAAAAGCAACATATTCCCGTCTTTGGTAGAACAGAAAGCCACTCAATCCAACAAGGTGAGTGCACTCTTGCTTAAACACCTTCCACAAATAGAACACTAATGGGTGAATTTAAAGGTAGACTTTCCCCACTCCTACTTCCCATGTAATTTTCTAGTAAGTTCTTGGGATGTTTTAATACTCTTTTCTAGAGAGAGATACATTTGCTTTCAGTTAAAAACATAGAATTTAAAAAGTAACACAATAATCCTCAGCCTGATGAAATATTTAATATTAAGGCTAATCTCTGAGTATTTACATGAATCTGCTCAAAACTGCTTTTCGTGTATTATTTTAATATTCAAGGACTAAAAGTTTAAAACCAGTAATTATTAAATATGCCTCAACAAAGTTTCTTCTTTATTGAAATTAATCATTCTGAATTATCAATAACAATCTACAAACTCAACTGGAGCCAGATAAGGATGGATCAACTATGAAGGTATTTTCTGTAATATTCATTTTATGTGACCTTAGTAAAATTGTAAATAATCTATCACCAATTTCTCAGAATTACCATCAGCTCTAAATATAGACAAGAAACATCAATTTAATTCTATAGCCCACCATGATAAAGGTATCCTTAAAAATTCGTTGGATTTTAGCCAACTCAAAGTATTATGTGTTGCATAAACAATCTAAGATTTGGACTGAGGCCACAATCATTGAGGCAGCAGAATAAGCAATCTGGATTAGGACGACCAGAAAGAGAAAAACAATAATAGAAACTTAAATGTCACCTTATAATCAAATTCACAAATTGACTTGTGACAACATAAAAATTCTTCTAAGATAAATTGACAGAAGAAAAATTGGATGTGAAATATGAAAAAAAAAGTAAAAAGCATTCTTTTCTCTATTCCTTCACTTATATTGACATTTTTTAAAAACAATGATTCTCAAGTAATCACTAAGAAAAGCCCAACCTACACAACAACAAAATTGTGCTTTTCTGTGATAAGTAAAAAATCTTCCTTACCAATTATTAACTTAATTAATGCCAAACAACTAAAACTTGTTAACACTAAAATTTTAAGTAGAAAGAATTTTTGAAATAACACTGCAACTTCCTTATAGGATAGAGACTAATAGTCTCAAATAAAAACAACGATGACTTTGACCAGTTACCTTTTGTTTATAGCAAACACCAGATTGTTGTAGAGTTTCTTGTTCTATGTTTATCCAGACAAACATCAAACAAGACAATACTAGTGGAAAGACAGCTTCATACCTAACAGGTGGGGAAAGGTAGAAATGAAAAGGAAAAAACAGTAAAATAAGTGAAAATGCAAATTTACACTGAGGTCTTTCTCAAAATTAAAATAATTTGATAATACTTCTAAGTCACAATATTACAAAACTTAAATTTTCTAGGCTTTCCAGAAGAAGAAAGTAGGAAACTAATATTTAAATTTTAACCCCAACATCATCTTTTTTGAGTGACATGAAATCTTGAGATAATTATGTGTTTAAAATAATAGAAATATATAAAAGCCATTCGTAAAGCAAATGACAGATACACATAAAAAAGAAAGAAGGCATGAAGACAAAGATAAAAAGATAATTCTTGAGGTAAAATTATTAACATACATAGAAAAGGAAGAGGAACACTCTAAATTTTCAAAAAAATGGGTACAACAAGAACACAAACATGAACATTGTTTGACCTTATTGATAACATATGGAAATTAAAATAATGGTGATATATCATATTTGCCAATATTAAAACAACAGTGTTGGCCGGGCAAGGTGGCTCATGCCTGTAATCCCAGCACTTTGGCAGGCCAGGGCAGGCAGATCACGAGGTCAGGAGTTCGAGACCAGTCTGGCCAGCATAGTGAAACCCTGTCTCTACTAAAAATACAAAAAATTAGCTGGGTGTGGTTGTGTGCGCCTGTAATCCCAGCTACTCAGGAGGCTGAGGCAGGAGAATCTTCTTTGAGAAGATTCTGTCTCAAAAACAAAACAGTGTTGACAAGAGGGCGATGAAAAAGGAACTCTCATATGCTCTCTATGGGAATACACACTTTCTGGAAGACCATCTGATACTATGTATTAAGAATCTCAAAAATATTCATATACTATAATGCAATAAGGCCATTTCTAAAAGTTTACCCTGAGAAAATCATCAGACATGTGCTACAATTTCCATTATAAAGATATCTGTTGTAACACTGGTTACAGAAGAGGGAAACAGAAAACAACCTACATGTCCACAGGCGAATGATTAAATGTGTGGTACACCTACAGGCTGGAGTGTAAAATGGACACAAAAACAAAGGAGAAGTGCTCCTGAGACAACGCAGTGATAGAAGCCTTATCTAAACAGTTTCTGTTTTGTCTGGGGTAAATGTTCCACCTTCATAATCCCTAAATGCTCTATTATAGTACTTACACCGTCTTAATCACATGTTTACCTGTATGCATCTATTATTACTTTATAAAATCTTTGAAAACCAAGTCTGTGTCTGTCTCATCACCACTGCTGGCCCAGCTCACAAATATTTGCTGAGTGAGTTATTTATCTAATCAGAAGTTACAAAACAAAACAAAGACTTATTTCCTTTTTGAGTCTTTCAACTACCAAACTCTACAGCATATGGCATTATTTCCTAAAGATGAGAAAGTAAAAAAATTTCAAACACTTTAAACACTATTACAAATTATAAAATTATAACACTGAAAACTGGGCAGAAGAAAAGATTCAGGTTTCAGAAAACATACACAAATCACTTGATATATAAGACTTAGAAGGCCCAGGGATATGAACAGATACTACACACATGAGAAAATAGCATGAGTAAAACAAGTACAGAAAACTGTACAAAGCAGTGCCATTTCTGACCTGTTAATATAACGTTTGATATTCTTATTTAAAAATGGAAATACCAAATACTGTTACATATTTGTTACAGATACGATGAAACAGTACTCCTCATATATAGTTTGTTGTAGATATTATACATTGGCACTGTTCTTAAGACAATTACAAGTTAAAAAAAGAAAGTTCATACCCAATGGCCCACATACACTATATCAGAAGTGAACAAAGGAAATAATCCAGACTATGAAAAAGCTTATGCATAAAAACATAACTCAAAATATTATGTGTAATAATAAAAAGTTGAAATAAAATCCATATCATGAAATATTAAATATCTATTAAAATGGTGGCTAGGAAGCCTATAAGCCACCTAGAAAATGCTTCTGAAATAATGTGAATTAGAAAAAAAGATCCAAAATAGAACATGTACTGCAATTAATTTTATGTTAAAAAGACAAATATGGAGGGTTAACACCAGAAAGAAATATACCAGAACATTAATAAGAGTAGAGTTAATACATGATTTTATCCCTTATCCCCACTTTCCATAATGTGATGACTCTATACGTCCAGTGATTTTTTAAAAATTGAAAAACAAATATTTAGAATGCTTGTATCCCTGGCCTTTCTTTAAAGTTCAGTTCAATGTCCTTGATGGCACTAACTCAGCTTTCCTATTCAAGCTCTTTCTCTAGTCAGTCTTCATTTCATACAACACACAACTTCATTAACTCACAGTAACTTAATTGTTTGATTTTGTAATTACCTAACACTGTAAAATACAGTTCTTATTTTATAGCAGCTTATAACTCTATTGTACACCAGCATTACACTAACGGTTCTCTCTGTGTGTCTGTAGAGTGCTCTGGACACTGGATATATGAAAGAAAAAACAACTGTTGATTAATTGAACTGTTGATTAATTGTGCATACGCTGAACAAAAGGGGACCATAATTTTTTTAAAGATTTGCAGTTATATATGAAGTTATTATTTCCTAATATTTAAAAACATAAATGTCATAGTTCTACAAATAGTAGAATTTATTTATTTCCTTTTAAAAAACTATACATTATGATCACTGTCTTTTGTAAAATGTAGATGAATAAACCAGATAAAGATAATCTTCCTATGGGACTTTATCTCTTAAGACAATCAATATTTTGTATAAAGTCTGTATATCTGCATTAATAAACTGAAATATCAATGAAATGTCATCACAGGCTCAGGGAGAACATAATGAAAACTTACTACATTAGGATCTGCTGGTTTGGTCTCCATGCAAATTGAATAGGGCTGACAAGGCATTTAGCTTTGTATTATAGTTTGCTAAGCAAAGGAATAATGCAAAGAAAATTTCAAAGGGAAATGTTTAACCAGCGCTAACCAAGAGAACAAGCTATTTTCAAGTATTACAATAGCTCCATTTACATAAAATAATTAAGTGCTGATTAAAAATGAATCTTCTTTATTCATTAAATCAAGAATGCATCGTAAGAATGTAGGATTACTATTGCTGTATTTCTATATTATAATATAACTATATTTCTTTTAAATATTCTGTAATTCTGAATATTCAATAATTTACACAGAGAACCCTCCAGGTCATCCAAAATGGTAAGGTTGAATCATAACAGGTGGACTATGTTTTGCAAAACTGATTTGACACTGAGAAAATGTACTGATTGAAATGACTGAACTGTGCTATTTCAAGATACTCTTTTCGATTTTTTTTGGCAAAGCTGGATACACTTTCTGATGTTGAATAATATCTCTGTTAATGAATTCATTAATAAGGTCATATAGTGCCTTATTCTGATTTTAGGTATAGATTTTCCCTTTTTAGATTTTCTTAAGTTATGATTCTGATTATGCTTATTATGATAATTGGTTTTGGCATCTCCTATAACTATTAAATTGATGATTTAAAATACTTATCCCCTATGTAAGTTACATGATTAATCATGCTACATTATGAAATAGTCTTTTCATTCAAAATTAAACTTCAGTTATCTTTGTTTCTTGCTCTCCTTTTCTAATCCAGCAAATCAGATCTATTTTTATACTTGTTTACATTTTTTAACCAACTACACATCCCTTTAAATCTGTTTATTGTTTTAGAATTTGAAAGTTCAAAAAAGAGAAAGGCCTATTGATTAAGAGACTGTACAGAAGTTAGTACATATTTCCGGACACTTTCAAACATTTATTTCCTTAAATCAACCTCTGGGTGTAATCTCTTAATAAAATTCATGAGTATCTCTGAAACGGTAGGTTAGAATAGAAATTATTTTAACTTCTGCTTTCTTATATAGATTAAAAACTTGTGCATAGTCGAATTCATTTTTACTCTCATAGATTCTAATTTAACAAAATTATTTATCCTGAAATTTCACTAATAAAGGGGGAAACTGAAAGATTTTAAGCTCTCATGTTCATCACTCTTGAATAACAGATGCTCATAAATTTCTAGTTTTATTTTAAAGTTCTATTTCAAAGGTCTAAATCTCAAAGAAAGCCTCTCTTAAAATCTTATTAGGTAGCTGGTAAAAAGTTTCATGACATTTGTATCACATCTTCAGAGCTGTGGCTCACATCTGGTTAGGCAAGGGGAAGGGAAACAAAAGGAGATAGACAGCTTTGGTGAAGAAAAGGTTTAGGGCCCCACTGGATCATCTCTTATATAAGACTACAAGAACTCCTGAGGTCTAGGTCACTTAGGGTGTTAGGGTCTACTGTGGGAAGACTTTGAGAATACCTCTCTAATTCTGAATTATGACAACTAAGTTTCCAAAGGGGAGAACCTGAGCCTTAGACCCCAAATGGCTTTACAAAATCATTTGAACTGTGAATAATCTCATAGCATAATGGTGAATCCCTAGGTTTAGTCTAACTCCGATCAAGATTCTGTATTTGGGCCAAAATTCAAACTGTTTATGAGTGGTATTTATTCATTGTTTGTCCTAGTCATTGTTTGTTATAATGTGCACATTTCTTACCCTCATAAAGATTTAAGTAAGGACAAAATTCAAAAGCAAGAAAAGAATTCTTCAAAGATAACGGACAGAGTATATCCCTGTCTTCACTGAGTTCTAGAAAATGCTTTGGGATTCACCCCAAGTCAAGCTGCTGATTTTTTGTTTTCTTTTGTTTTGTTTTGGTAAGAAAATTTCAATCTTAAATAAAAATCTTTAAAAGTTTTGGGAAAATATTCTGAAGGTTCTCTGAATCAAATGAATATTTGAACTGTGAGATGTGTAAGATTTAAAAAGTACTATAGTCAAAGAAGAATGGACGAATCAAAGCATAATTTAAAATGGATACAAGGAATGCAATAAAAAATAAAAGTCAATGAGACTTAAAATTCTTCCATAATCAATCAGAATTTTCTAACATTATAGTTAAGTGATATTTTAGCAACTTCAGAAAAGAGAAACACAAAGACAGCAAGCAATACTATGAAATGGATAAAAAAAAAAAGAAAACAGATTATAGATCAAGTCAGATATAGTTCTCACTGAGAAGTAAATATTTATAATGTATCCCTCAAGATTTAGAAAACATTTTTCATTTCCAGATGTTAAATACTAATAGAGAAAATAACAATATATCATTTAAAACTTGCTACTATAAAATTAAGTTGTTAAAAAGTTTATACCCCGTGCTTAGAAGGAGGTAGGTTGACATCAACGAAAGAAGTATGCTGAACAATCGCTGAAAGACAGCTGGAGAACTCAGTAGTGGCACAACCAAGGAAGAGGCTGCAATGAAACAAAACAGGTCATTTGTCAGTACAAGAGACACAAAAAAATGTTAGTGTAGAGCCAGGCATGGTGGCTCACACCTGTAATCTCAGCACTTTGGGAGGCTGAGGCGGGTGGATCACCTGAGATCAGGAGTTCGAGACCAGCCTTGCCAACATGGTAAAATCCCATCTTTACCAAAAATACAAAAATTAGCCCGGTGTGGTGGCAGGCGCCTGTAATCCCAGCTACTCAGGAGGCTGAGGTAGGAGAATTGCTTGAACTCAGGAGGCAGAGGTTGCAGTGAGCTGAGATTGCACCACTGCACTCCAGCCTAGACGACAAGAATGAAACTCCATCTCAAAAACAACAACAAAAAAAGTTACTGTAGAAGCCCTGAATAATCTAGTATCATTTAGGGCATTTATTGCTTTGTGACCTTGAACATGAGGCTACATTTCCCCTAATCATAGTCAAGCCTCACATTTTTAATTAATATTACATTTCATTGTTTTAACTATGCTCAGATTTTCTCAATTTATATTCAGCCCAGATCACTGTAATAATATTAACTCAAAAATGAATTATTTTCTAATGAAATAAAAGTATTACTCAAGATTTAGCACCCTTTGCTTAATTAGGCATTTATATCTTAGCTCAAAGACAACTTACTCTTCAGAAGCTGATTTTTTCCTAACCCCTTCCTTCTCCAAGTTTTCCCACTGTAAAGTATGTACTGACAGTTGCAGTATGCCCCTTGGAAAAGAGAACAGGAATGAGTTCACCATGCATGAGAGTTGTATTAACTCTCCCCCGGGATAACAAAAGGAACTACCCAAGCGGAGGAAGGGCAGATGAAGTGGGTGGGGTGGCAAAATGTAAACTCCTCCATCCCTATTCTGGGAAGGAAATGTGCGTAACTTCCTAATCCCCCTAGTGCTCTAGAGTTTGAAGACAGACAAGTTGGGATGAAATCCCGGCTGAATCACTTACTAATTGCTCAAACTATAGGGCAAGTTCATTAACTGATCTAAGCAGAAATTTACCCACCTATCAAATAGAGATGACATTAAAAAGTTGTGAAGATTAAATACAATTTCACCTATACAATGTTCGCTGAGCATAGTGCCTAGCACATAGTGCTTAGTAACTGTTAACTGTGGTTATTATTATTAGTCAACATCTTCTAAATTAATTTACATGTAATGTCAATTTCATCTAAAGTCAAGTCACTGCAAGATTTAAGACTATGAAGTTATACTTTTAATACCCTTACATGAGTAGCTTCTGACTTTTTTCCAGATGTGTAGCTCCGATCATAATCAACTGATACATATTTTAACTGGAAGAAATAACATTTCAATATCTCTGATTTTAAAAGTCAGTTAATCTGTTGGACAAATGGTGGTTGTTAAAAAATTAAAAAAAAATAAAAAGTAAATAATAAAAGTCAGTTCAAATGAGACCTCTTCTGTAAAACTGTACACATTTTCTGTCCTTGTTCTACTTTTGTCTAAATGCTTGATAAGGTACTAAAGGGGAAATAAGAGTCTCTATTCTAAATGACATAAGTAGAACCAATTTCAAAACATACCGTCCATTTGGAGATCATAGCATATTAAGCAAAAATGCTCATTAAAGCTAGACCATGGTGTATCTGTGCCTAAAAGAGATCTTTGGAGATATTGATGACTTACCTATGAGTTAACTTTATTTCATGTCTTACATCATTTTGTAGGTATCCTCTAGAAGCTAGCTCTACCAATACCAAGAAGGAAAGATCTTGTTTAAAATACATGCCTAGAGAAACTTTCATGTTTGGAGAACAACAGCAATAAACTGATTCTAAATCTCCTCCTCACCATTCCAAAACAATAATCAAATAAACAAAGACAATTTTAAAAAACCATAAAGGATACTCCAAATAGAGAAAGAAGCATATAAAACACTGCATAATGTATAAGTGTGCTCTACTACAACATAAGAAGATTTGACAGAATCTTATTGACAGAATCTTCAATTTGTTGTAGTAGAGCACACTCACACATTATGCAGTGTTTTATATGCTTCTTGAGAACAAGCCTAAGAGTCATGTTAGTAAACATGAATGAGCTCAACTCACCTTTTTATTTAAAAGAAAAAAAATTGTGGAATTGGCACATAAAGCAAAACCTAACTCTAGGCAGAACACAGGAACTAAACTTAAAACACAGTGATTCTAAAAGGCTAAAAATAAAGGCTAATGGAAACAGTACAAAATCTAGAGTTGCAATCCTGATACCAAAGTATACTTTAGACCAAAAACAATCAATAAGGAAAAGAAGAACACTTTATGATGTTAAAAGTGACATTCCACAATGATAATGTAATAGTTATGAATATTTTGCTGCAAACAACATACCTAAAACAAAATTATGACATCCTTCACAGAAATAGAAAATAAAATCCTAAAATTCATATGGAACCACAAAAGACTCTGAATAGCTAAAGCAATCCTGAGCTTTTAAAAAGAGAACAAAGCTGGAGGTATCATGAAGTCATGCTGAAGGCATGATTTCAAAGTATACTACAAAGCTATAGTAACCCAAACAACATGGTACTGGCATAGAAACACACACATAGGTGAATGGAACAGAATAGAGAACCCAGAAATAAATCTACACATTTATAGCCAACTCATTTAGACAAAGGCACCAAGAACATACATTGAAGAAAGGACCGTCTCTCCAATAAATAGTGCTAGGAAAATGGAATATCCATATTCAAAACAATAAAACAAGACCCTTATCTCTTACCACATAAAAAAGAAATCAACTCAAAATGGATTAAAGACTTAAATGTAAGACCTGAAACTATGAAACTACTAGAAGAAAACATTGGAAAAACACTTCAGGACAGTAGTCTGACAAAGATGTTTTGGGTAAGACCTCAAAAGCACAGGTAACAAAAGCAAAAGTAGACAAATGGGATTATATCAAGATTAAAAGCTTCTGCATAGCAAAGGAAACCATCAACAGAGTGAAGAGACAACCTACAGAATGGGAGAAAATATTTGCAAACTACCCATCTGACAAGGAATTAATAAACAAACTATATAAAAAGTACAAACAATTCAACAGCAAAAAACCTATTAATTCAACTAAAAAATGGGCAAATGATCTGAGTAGACATTTCTCAAAAGAAGACGTACAAATGGCCAACAGGTATATGAAAAAATATTCACTATCGCTAATCTTCAAAGAAATGCAAATCAAAACCACAATGAGATATCATCTCGCCCCAGTTAGAACTGCTATTATCAAAAAGACAAAAAATAGCAGATGCTGGCAATGATGTGGAGACAGGGGAAACTTTGTACATTGTTGGTGGGAATGTAAGTTAGTACAGCCATTCATGAGGGATGGGCCCCCATGACCCAAACAACAAAAATCATCAAAAGATGTAAAAAAGCGTATGTCAAATTATTCACTGGCATTACAAAGTGTCTTCTCTGAACAAAAAACCTGGGCTCAAAACTTGCTCTTGTCTTCCAACTGGAAGGGAAAACCTAAGTCCTAAAATTACATGTTTGCTTCACACATATATTTCAACATTCTCAATTAAGAGGACTACATAGAAAAATATGCTTTCAAATGTCTAACTAGCTTTAAAAAATATGTAAGGTATACTAGTCGATGTTATTTTCAGGAAGGGAAACAGATAAAATTTAAACATTTCCCAGTCCCTGTGTAAGAAGAGAGAATTTACGAATTGGCATGAAAATGAAGCATAAGATCCTCTTCACCCTTTTCTCTTTTGGAATCACTTAGTCAAATCTTATAAGATGTTAATAAATACATAGCTTTATTATCAGGTCATAAATATTCTATCCAATTATCTTAGTAACACATGCATGCACACGAGAATTCTCTTTGTTAAATTCCAGCAAGGGTTAGAAATAATAGCTCGTTATTATTATTTTCCTGCAACAAAATTATTTCTTTCAATAACAATGATACAGACATAAACAGATCATTTAAAAATAGCTAAGTTGATATCAAATTACCTCACTTGGTTTGAGTGGCCTCTTACCTAATGTTGCCCAGCTAATAATTTGATTCATAAGAGGCAGTCCTTGCTTCCTAAGTAGACTACTCTGGGTGCTATACACAACATACATGGAGAGCACTGTGCTCAGCACCTAAAGACAAAGATGAAATAAGTTAAAAAAAGAGAAGGTAGTGAAAGACTATAACTAGCAAGAACGTAAGACATTCTTATTTCTGAGATGTTAAAATCTGGAAAAAATGTGTATCTTGGAATCAATGAAATACAGTGGACAGTACAGGAACTGATGCAAGTTAATAAACCTAATGCAAAAATGAATTTTGTAACAGAGTTACCTAATACTCAGGGGTATGTCTAACAAAGCACATAAGAATGTTAGCATGATATTCTTGGCTACCCTAGAGAGAGATCCAGAAACATTCACTTCTGTCAAAGCACTCATTATTCTGGATACATTCTGTCAAAGCTACTATGGCTTAAGTGTAAAGCCAGTCAGAGTACCATTTAAAAAGAAACATATGTTTCAATGGCTTGACAGGATTTTTGACAAAAAATTTCTTCTCTTTTTATAAGTTCCCTGTCGCTCTCCAAGAATGAATTTAACTTGTGATGTAATCTTTCAAATGTTGTGTATTTTTATTTCAGAGTGTTCTTGGAAATACCATCTACTATCCCAGCTCTATTCTTCAGGAAATTTTTTAGAAGATTCATATGAGTTTTGCTTTTTGTCTGTGATCTAAACATGGTTATTTATTTATTTATTTATTCGGTTAAGAAGAAAAACAGATGTTTTCCATCCTTATCTACGGAAAAAGTTGTCATTTTATAGATTATCACATGATATGATGTTCGTCACAACTCTACTAGATATTATCTCTACAGATTAAAAACAAACTGAAGTGGCTGGGTGTGGTGGCTCATGCCTGTAATCCCAGGACTTTGGGAGGCTGGGGCCGGTAGATCACCTGAGGTCAGGAGTTCAAGACCAGCCTGGCCAACATGGTGAAACCCCGAGTCTACTAAATATACAACATTAGCCAGGCGTAGTGGCTCACGCCTGTAATCCCAGCTACTCAGGAAGCTGAGGCAAGACAATCGCTTGAACCCGGAAGGCAGAGGTTGCAGTGAGCTGAGATTGCACCACTGCACTCCAGCCAGGGTGACAAGAGCAAGACTCCATCTCAATACACATACACACACACACACACACACACACACACACACAGAAATCAAATTACTAAAAAGTACCCATCTAGTATGCAGCGTAACCGGGAACTGACTCAATTTTGAAACATCAAGTTAAAAGTTATTTTCACCACACCAAAGCCACTAACCATGCTGAAGTTTATTTTCACCTGGGACATTAACTGAAGTCTTAAACTGGCTATTCTTAATATAAACATACCCCAGGCTGCTTTCACTTCAAAGAAGTGACATTCTCTGACCCAAATGAGGACAAGGTAGAATCTCAGTCCAGAGGGAGCCCTTTTCAGTTCAACTGTTTATCAGTACAGGTGTCCCTTCAGTTTCGGTAATCTCTGCTCTTCAGGCATCACTGGGCTGCCTCTTATGGACCTTTTGCTATTTCATACCTCTTAAAGAACACATTTCCATGTAGCATCTTAAACGGAAAGCTTTCTTCTCAGCTGGCAGATACTAAGTAGCATAAAGGTAATGGCATTTTATGAACATAATTAAATATAACCATAGGATACATTTTTGGTATATCATTAGTATAACATAGTATTGAAAATTTGTAACAGACCTGTAATAGATGTACCAACAGCTCTTCCTTTCTAAAGCTATCTTTTCTTTTCATGAGAGATGTTACAACACACAGGGAAAGCAGAAGAACCAGCAAGCCTGCACCCATCCTGTTTTGAAATACAATTCACAGTTTTAAATTTTCTTCAGATATTTACTGAATACGTATCAGATGGAACTATGAGACATCTCACTCTAATACAGAACCTCTCAGTCATTTGGCTTAATTAAGAGGAAGTAGCAAAAAGGGTACATTTTAAGATTTTTAAGAAAACTTTTAAGTTTAAGATTTTAAGAAAACTTAAAATCTTAGGATAAAGATACTGCTGGATGTGGTTATTTGCAACTTCTTCCCACAATTTTTTAAGTATGTCTACCTTACTTCTATAATTTAATTTTAAAAAATTTTAGGCATATCAAATACTATAATATGTAGCCTGAATTGGGCAAATTCACAAAAATTTACAATATAAAGCATAACTAAACAAGTATATTATCAGTATCTACAACATGTATTTTGTGATTATGAAACTTACTCATGCAAAAAGTATCTACATATATAACCCATATTATTTCTAGCAGGAAAAACAGCTCCCTTCTGTGACAGACCTTGGTATTTTCCTCAGCTGCTCCTGGCTGAGGGAAGAGGTAGGCAGTGGTCACATGGGCGGCATGCAGGTGAGGTATGTGTACAGTAATGAAACAACAAATTACACCTTTCAAGAACACCAGGTATAGTATGTTTCCTAAAGTCAAAGATGACTGATCCCAGGGAAATGATGCCCTACTGTTGAGCTCTGTCTCACCTCCTTAACATCTGAATAACATAGTACAGCCAAAATGATGCTGAGGATGAAATCCGGAACCCAAATAGAACTAAGAGAAAAGGAATTGGTTGAAGAGAAAAAAGAAAGAGCAAAAAGCAGAGCTGGACACCTAAGAAGAATGCAAAGCAGGAATCCCCAGAAAAATGCTTGATGGTTGTTGCTGATGCTTCAAATACAATCTTTGAGAATCCTAAGGAGAAAGGTAATCATATATTCAACATGGATTATCATTAAAATTTAGGAAAAAATAGTCACATATGACCAAGATTCTTTGCTTTTTCTTTTTCTCGTTCTTAAGTTTTAAAATAATTTGGAATTTAAATTTATTGGCATATATGTTTTTACTTTAGAACACTGGAGTACCAGACATTACAACTATGTTGTACACATGTTTGCTTTTTCCTTTGATCGTATCCTTAAATGTTTCATAAAATGACATCTTTGTGATTTTCTGAAGAAGGGAGATGCTGTGACAGATGAAAAGGAGAGTAGAAGTTTCCCCATGAACCAGGAATCAAAATAAGTAAGTTACAAATACAGCTAGTAGGATAAACTTAAAATCACTGAGCAATTTAAATTTAGAGGGAAACAATATAATTTTCTAAAATATAAATTAGATTTCTTATATTTTAACAAGTTTATTTGCTTCCCACATTCATCCTTAATAGAATATGCAAGTGGCAAATTTATACAATTTCCTTCCCTTTGAGCATATGTTGAATTCTGCTCAACTATGCCAATATTGCTTGAGCAGGACTGATAGGCAAAGACTGATGAAGGGAAGGAAAGGGGCTTTATAGAAACATTACAAGAGCTTACAGAGCAATCTGAAGCAAGAAATAAATGAAAATATTTGAATTCATTTTCTCACATACTACTTGTAGGTTACGAAAGTTGCAAAATATTTTGACTTAGTAACACTCTAATGAAGTATGGCTTAGATAGTATGGTATTAGAATTCAATACAATTATTTTGAGCTCTGCTAATAAATTGACTTCCTGGGATAATTCCTGATCTATTCCATATTGGTAGTCTCATATAAATAGGAGAAAATGTATAGAATCTCATAAATCAGCACATATTTTTACAAAATATTATTTAGTTAATCTTCCTTGATTTAAAAATATATACCCCTATCCATTACAGATTTGGTTAAAATGTTTTTAAAAACGCTTATAGCGTTCTGAAGAAAGTAACAAAGATGATTTAATTTCTAATTCCTATGATTAGAAAATAAGAGAGGAAATGTTAAATGAAATAATGATCAAACACACACTCAAACAGCCTATAATTTACTTGACAATAAAGTGCAGTTAAAAGCAAAGGTAACCAGTTATTTTATAGATTTATTTAGGTCTATTGAAGACAAATAAATATAGCAGCATAGTAGGGAATTTAGGTAAGATATGCAGAAGAATTTTCAAACAATTTGAGTGGTTAAACATGGGAAAGTTGGCAAGGTAAATGGAGTTTCCTCCCACAGAGATCTTTACATTCAATTTAGAATAGCAGAAAATTTAATTTTTACATGACATTTTAGTGTGGACATGATTGAAGCAAAGAGGGCTAACACAGTATCTTTGAGACCTTTCTGTTTCGGCAACAGAACATTTTTTTCATATGAAACTAAAACTTTTACTGACTCCTCCAAGTATAAAAGAAAGAAAACCTTCTAGACTTAAACAAACAAACAAAAAAAATGGGGAGCATTTTAAGTTATCAGTGGCACAATTTCATTATGAAAGCCCGGAAGCATCTACTAGGAGGTTTAATGACTCTTAGAACTTAGGCTAAACTCATGATTAATGGTTTGATATTGGTATTTTAAATTCCCATTAGTTCACATGATTTTAAATTCTTGACTAAGATTAGGTTCAAATTTTACAGTGTTAATTGAGGAAAAAAAGAAACTGTATTGAAAAGAAAAGAAAATACGGTATTATTCATACACTAGAGAGATGTCTGGCTTTCGACCTACAACCGGCATCAGTGGGAACACTGCCAGGAGCACAGAGAAGAAAGCCCAACTCAGTGAGGTCACCTAAAATCAAGAAGAAAGTTATCTTTAGACAAACAGGGTATAGAAAACTATCATCAGTGTTTCACAGACTATATGACTATGAAGGTAAAAGGAAAATGCGAAGTCTTACAGCTATTTATTATTTTATTTTCAAATACTTTCTAGCAGAATCAACAGCTAACTACTTTAAAAAGTAATAGTTACTATTTGTGAAGGACCTGTTGCATAGCAGGTATAGTATTAGGTGTAATATGAGCATTTTCTCATTTAATTCTCACAATAACCTCCAGAGGCAGATATTATTCTTCCCAATGCATCAGATGATGAAACAGAGCTCAGAGAAGTTAAAATATAAGTAGTACCAGGTCCATGACAAGTAAATAAAATAACCAGGATTTAAACCTGCATAAAGTGCTTCACTCCATTTATGTTAGACCATGTATTGATGAAGACATCTACAAAAAAGTGGCCTACAATAATCATCAAACAATTGAGCCCAGAAGGAAAATAAGTAAAACTACTTTTGTAATTAGATTAAGATCCCTCACAAATTAAAAGATCAATAATCCCATTCATTGAAGTTTTTTTACTAAATTCTCAGAGTAGAAAGAAGATATCTTCCTGCTACTTCTATCAAAAAGTATGAAAGTGGAAATAGGAGAGCATTCTTTGTAGAAGCACATTGTAATTCCCTACCTAGCTGAAGAAAGAAAATCAAGACTCAAAATATTTTAATAATTTAATCATTGTATATCTATAATAAATACATACTTCTCCAGAAAAACAAAAAACAAACAAACAAAAAAAAAAACTGAGTGGTTCAGAGTAAGGAGGGAGATGTCTCCTGTGACTCAAGTTCAGAGTGCAGACCCCTAAGCCACTGGGCTGTGCTACTCTGGGCGACTCCTCTCCTGGTCCATTATCAAGATATTTGAAGCTAAACAAATCCAGGAAGTGCTTCAGAGATGGACATATCAGTACAACTTATATAGCACCTCAATTACCACATAACTGGCCCATTTTGATGTGAAAGTCTAAGTGAATTACTGAAACCTTACGGGTAATGTCAGTCATCCTATCAATATGACTAGGCTCTTTTATGTAAAAACACATTCTACCCTTTTCTTTAAAAATAAACAGCTCCTTAAGTTACATACGTGTCAAAACAAAGTAGTTACTAATCTGTCCTATGTCAAAATGAGTACTCATACCTTTGCTCGAGTCCACAGCCGAGTGAGAAATGGCCAAACCGCAAAGGCAGTAAGTCCAGCGGTAAGCATATAGCGGTAGAAAAAACTGAGAACCTAGTAATGCATTCCAAAGAAGGAATGAAAAATAAGGTCATTTAGTACTAGTTACAAATACATAAAAGAAATTTGCAAATGTTGTAATCTGATAAGTTACTTACTAATACTTCAATGCCCAAGGTAAAGACTAACAGGTACCCAACAAAATGGCTCAGAGGATAGGTCAACAGTGATGTGACAAGGTCCTGAACAACTTGAAATCTGTTTCAAATGAAAAGACTGATTGAATTTTAAAGTCAGGTCATACCTAGTATAAAAATACAAACTTTGCACAAAGCTAAAAAACTAGAGAATTTTCCATTTATAGATGATTCAAAAACTAAAATAAACTCTAACGGATTTGTTTCAACAGCTTTACTTACCTAATTTTTTTTTTTAATCTAGAAGTATTTTAGGGAAAATGTAATTTCTGAATTAATTTGAAAATGATCGGCCAGGCGCAGTGGCTCACGCCTGTAATCCCAACACTTTGGGAGGCTAAAGAGGGCGGATCACCTGAGGTCAGGAGTTTGAGACCAGCCTGGCCAACATGGTGAAACCTCATCTCTACTAAAAATATAAAATTAGCCAGGCTTGATGGCACATGCCTGTAATCCCAGCTACTCGGGAGGCTGAGACAGGAGAATCGCTTGAACCTGGGAGGTGGAGGTTGCAGTGAGCTGAGATGGTACCATTGCACTCCACCCTGGGCAACAAGAGCGAAACTCTGTCTCAAAAAAAAAAAAAAAAAAAAAAAAAAAAAAGAAAAAAGAAAATTATCACAAAAGTTTGCTTGGTTTTTATAAGCATTAATGACAATAAATGAATCTTGTTTGATCTTAGTTTAAATATGGGTTCATACAATTACAGATGCAACATCAGATATAAAACATAATGAATCCAAATGCATATAAACTGAAAAAATTTTTAAAATTCACCCAAGTAATCCTATATTTAAATCTTAATGAAATAAAGGTAGGGTTTCCTAATCCAGTTAGGGAAAAATCTTAATTACATTTTTTAACTGAGCTAAATAACCTTTTCCAAACCCAATTTAAGACGTCACTAATTGTACACTAATTACAATTAGGTGAACTCATCACCATCAAAAACGTATTACATATTTGAGTACTTTTTATATTTTATCACTAGGAAAAAAAAGTTAACATTTGTAGTGCATTATTAAGTAAGTAATTTTAGAAGGTCAGTATCATTTGGTTTATGACCTTTCTCTGATTGAAAGCAACGGCTACAGAATTTCATCAAAACAATGAAGGTGCCATGTAGGAAAGAAAAGCTAACACCAGTCAAAAGGGAATTTTTCTGTTCTTCTTAACAATGAATAAGCACAGAGAATCAAGAGATAATTTTGTAAAATCATTTAGAAGATCGTGAATTTTTATGTCTTTTTCCTATATAATCTATCAAAAAGATAAAGATAGGACACAACATACTTTCAAAATCATGTTTTCCCTTAAAATTTAAATATATATGTTTACTTCATATAGGACATTTAATAATTCAGGAGAGGTTCTGTACTAGATACGATTTTCTGCAAGGACAAAACATTTTGTTCTAAAAGTTTAAAAACCAGACTAAATGACATTTTTAAAAATTTGAGGTAAATATGCATATGCAACAATCCTATTCCTTTCAAATAGAGAGGTAACAGTATGTTATTTGATCAATGCCTTTTTGTCTTATAGTTAACATTTTAAGCATTTTAATATTAATATTAATTTTTGATATTTTTAAGTTATTTTTTTTTTTTTTTTTGGAGACAGAGTCTCACTCTGTCACTCGGGCTGGAGTGCAGTGGTGCAATCTTGGCTCACTACAACCTCCACCTCCTGGGTTCAAGCAATTCTCATGCCTCAGCCTCCTGAGAAGGAATTACAGGTGCATACCACCACGCCCAGCTAATTTTTGTATTTTTAGTAGAAACATTTTGCCATGTTGATCAGGCTGGTCTTGAACTCCTGACCTCAAGTGATCTGCCTGCCTTGGCCTCCCAAAGTGCTGGGATTACAGGCGTGAGCCCCCATGTCCAGTCAACTCTGAAATATTTTTAATATGTCATGTTTTAAAAGATGGAAGAAGTAGTCAAAGTTAAAGTTAAGAAAAATTAGAATAAAAGTATGCATAGTGTCAAGATGCACGTGTTAGGCCAAACCTGGGGGATACCCTTATTATATAACAGGCTCTCATTCTTTCATTGTCTTTGGGGTCTGGTTTGCTCAGAAAATACGCTGATATCCACGACTAAGTTTAAATTATAGATTACTGGTGTAAAAACAGAAACCAATAAGATCTGCAGCGTGACTCTGGCTGCCAGTGAGCATGAACTAGTACTCCCTTCTAGTGGTTTTATTAAAAGTGTTTGAAACTGGCCAAAGAGCCTTACTTCTAATTTTTCTACAATGTTAACAATACACTCTATTTTAAGTACAACCTGTGAGGAAGTACTTATAGGTAAAACCACAGCACATGTGAAAAATATAGACTAATTTCTGTGTGTAAATATTACCATATTAGGTTTAACTACAAAGTTTAATTTATCTATATCTATAAGATCGCTAGGAAAGGAGGAGTCAAAACGTATGGAAATAAAACATGCAAATATCTTTGTCAAATATGAAGATATATTGGAATCTGAGATGATGACACAAGTTCAAAATGCAAGTTAGTCTAGGCATAGTATGATCAATATTAATCATTACTTCTATTCCATTTTTTTCTATAAAAGATACACAAAGAAGTGAACACTGCCACTTCAGAAAAATAAAGATGAAGTCAAAAGGGAAAGGTATAACAAAAATAATGTTTATATCTTATCCAACATTTATACAGTTATAAATGAAGTGAGAAGGATTTGAGATTTGAAAGTACAGTATTATAAATATCTTTGATGACTTATGGTATAGAAATCTAATGCATTTTAAATACAGATTTAACTGTCAATGAAGTGAAAAAATAAGGCAGCAAGATGCATTACTTACTCTCTTAGAACCGCATACCATATTGGCACTGGCAACAAACCATATACGTAATACGTCCAGGGACAGGCTTGAATCAGCAGAAAAAATGCTACTAAAATGCCAATAGCTACAAAACTGCATGGCAGGAGATGGCTTGGTTTCTGAAAAATCAAACAAAACATTGAAACACTTCCAAACCAACGGTAATTGATAGGTTTTAAAAGAGATTTTATAAAGTGAAGAAAACCTATGACTTTCTTTCAATGGTTATACAACTAGATAATTAATCAAAGAGCTGCATTAAGACAAGGAAAAAATATGTTATTTGAGGAGCATATTAGAAAGGAAAAACCTAGATAACCTGGAATTGTTGCAATTAAGCAATTCTCAACTTAAAAGTGACTATGGCCTTAAAGTTTGTTTCCAAGTAACTTGCTCAGAATTCTGAACATGTTTCCTTTTAGGAATAATTTTATAAATGTTGATTGAGTTCTCTCGATAACTTGCAAAAGCCTATTTAATCCATAATAAGGTATGGGACTTAATTTTCATTTGGAACAATGTCCTATCTATTCAAGCTTCAACGTGACACGCTACCTAAGCTTCTCTCTCTATTGCCCACCAAATAGAAACTTCATTCACTCATATGCACTATTCCCAATCATCTGCCAAAAAAGAGAATTCATCAGCGTAATTCACTAGTGATAGTCTCCATGGTGTAAGGGTCAGGGACTTTAAGTACAGGAGATCATCCTAGATAATCTGGGTGGGCCTGATTCAATCCGTTGAAAGGCTTTAAAAGCAAAACTACGGGTTCCCTAAAAGAAATTTTACCTGTTGAGTGCAGCTTCAGCTCCTGCTGGCGAGTTCAGTCTGCCTTTCCTGACAGCCTGACCTGTGAACTTAGGACTTGCCTAACTAGGCCCCACAATCACATAAGCCAATTTCTTATACTACATCTCTTAATATATATTGCCTCCTGGTTCTATTTCTCTGGTTTTTATTAATTGACGTACCAACTCGTCACTAAATAAAGTATAAATGCTGTAGTCCAGCATTTGAAGCCTTTGATTACTTCAGCCAAATCTATATTGTATTATTTCTTATCAGTCCCTCGAACAAAACTCCCACATTCTACACAAAGTGAACTATTTATTTTGAAGGAAGCATGGCGTAGAAAGAGAAAGAATTCAAGTATCAGAAAATGTGGGTTCTGTCATTTAAAACCCATGTGTCCTTGTGGAAAACATGTAATCTTTCTGAGCCTAAATCCTCCCGTCTGTATTATGAGAATCATAACCACCAATATTTAGGGTAGTGTTAAGCCTAACTAAATAACTTATGTAAAGCGCCCAGGGCAGCCCTGGAACAGTGGGGCTCAATACATATTACTATTATCCCAGCATAATAGTACATCTTCCCAAATCTGCCTCTGTTAACATCATTCAACTTGCTTTAATTCTCAACCTCTCCCTAGATTCTGACTGTTAAACTCCCACCAAGACTTACTTTTTCCTGTTATTGACACCCTAAAGTCAGCTCTCATATAGTCTTTTTATTATCCCAAACACTTAACATATCATCAAGTTTTCTTTTGTAGTCGAGTATAGATACAGTGACCTATGCCTGGGGTAAGGTGGTCATATGTGTACATCTCTTACCTACTTTATTAAATTCTAAACTCCTTGATGGCAGATTCTGAATCTTATATTTCTTTTATAGCCTATACAGCAAGCTTGTCCAGTCTGCAGCCCACAGGCCATGTGTGGCCCAGGACAGCTTTGAATGAGATGCCAACACAAATTCATAAGCTTTCTTAGAACATTATGAGTTATTTTGTAAATTTTTTTTAAGCTCATCAGCTGTTACTAGTGTATTTTATGTGTGGCCCAGGACAATTCTTTTTCCAATGTGGCTTAGGGTAGTTAAAATATTGGACACCCTTGCCAGCATCTAGCATTGTACCATACACTCAATTAAATATTGGCTGTATTATCAGATTAATGAATAAAGAACTATCAGCTATGAAATCTTGTTAACATATCAATATAAAAACATATTTTTTCTCAATAAACTGAATATCAGGATAAACATGAAAAGGCAATCTCTGGCCCAAGACTGCTCTGGACTGAAGTCTCAGTCCCTCACATGCTAGCTGAGTGGCCTTTAATAAGTAACTTAATCCTCCTCAGCTTCAGCTTCCTTTTTTGTAAACATAAATTATATCTACTACTAGCACTGTTATGAGTTCTAAGAATGCCTAGATATAATTCCCATTCCAGCCAATTTCACATACACTCAAATAATTAAAATTACTTGGGGGAAATTATTTAAGATACATTAAAGCATTATACAAAATTATAATAAACACTAATGGCCTTACTTCCATTACAGAATAATAAAATATAAAATTGGAAAAGTTACCACTGGAAATATCTGCAGACTATTATTAAAAATACACCACCAGGATATATTACTTTTTAGAGAACTTGAACATGGTAATAATCATTAAAGAGAGTGAAGCAAAGGAAATGAAAGTGGCATATTCTCCCTGGTAAATGACAGTTAGAAATATATTTTAAAAGAGTAAAGTGTTTTAATGTAGCAAAACTATATATTGTCTCAGCAATATGAAGTATCATTAAAGAGATTTTTTTAATTTTTATTTTTTCACTGAAAGCATAAAATAGGAACAAATTCTTAAAATAAGAATACATGGAAAGGTCTAGAAATCTGCATTTTGAGAAACTTCAGAAAGTTAAAAGAAGGTAAGAGTAATTTAAAAATGTATACATCATTTAAGAAGAAACACTATGAGCAAATAATTTTATTGCTTTTTAGCTCCTAAACTTTTAATATTAGATAAAATTAAATACATTGTTTTGAAGTAGTTTTCTGACCACTTGTACTAGAAAGATATGGAATACTTATAAAATGCTAGTTATAAAATAAAACAGAATATCAACACCATTAATAACATAGGAGCACTTAAATTACTTACACCTCTATCTTTACAGCTTTCTTAAGTTATAGGATCATTATTATCAATATATCTTTTTCTCAACTGAAGAAACAGAGATAACTGAGGAAAAATCCAATACAATAAAAGCAAATGAAAGATAAATAAGAGTTATCTTAGAACAAGGACTTGCACATCCTATAAACTCATTACACTGGATTCAGTACTAGTGATTTTATATCATCATCGGAATCTTCACATTTTCTAAACGTACCTTAACTTCTTTACTAACACCTTTCATAAGGTTGGAATGAGACTTGATGATCAACAAAGAAGCGTAAGATATCCATCCCACAAAACCAGTAACAACATTGATGCCCAAAAAGAATCTGTCATATGTGTGATAATAGGCCAATCCTTTCAACGCTAGATGAATTAGCTCCTTGCAAAGGGAGACCTATGGAGAAAAAACATAAATAACTTGCTAACAGAAAGAATAAGGAAATCTACATTTTAAAGAAAGGAAACTTTTAAATTCCTAACAGCCAAACCGTTGTATTAAAATTAGTGAATAACTGTAGATGATGGATTAAGAATAGATTTTAATTGTTCAAGGATCTTCTTTTAAAGTATGAGAAAAATTCGGAATAAAATGAACTTTTTAATCTTAGTAAGAAAAGGCATTTTAAATGTAAACTATTTGTGTTATATATGTGTGTTTGTGGAAATGATCTTCAGATAACTCATAAAAGAAATGAAGGCTCTCTAATGTAGGTCCCAAACAATGATGATGGCCATATTTATATTTTTTACTTTCTCATATGAGATTACTCAAATCAGTTATAAAACATTATTAAGTAGCTTAATATTTTACAGGAGAAGAATAGCTTATCATTTTAAAACCATCAAAAAAAAGTATTAGAAATGTATGAATTGGCAATTATTTCGGCAATTTTAGAAATGAAAACAGAATTCTTTTCTACTTTAAAATTAAATGACCATTTAACAAAGAAAAATTAATGAAAAACACAGTGAGATAGGAGTTTGAAAGAGTCCAAGTTTCAGCATGAATCATTAGACTTTTAATAATGTATAGATAATTCTGAGTGGCAAACATATAGTGTTCTAAAATATTACACATAAGTAGGGTGACAAAAACTTGGCATCTATTTTCTCATTTTAAAAAATGGTAAGAGTTCATTTCTAATGCTAACCTAAAAAAATGTGGGCTGGGTGTGGTGGCTCACGTCTGTAATCCCAGCACTTTGCGAAGCCAAGGCAGATGGATCACCTGATGTCAGAAGTTTGAGACCAGCCTGGCCAACATGACAAAACCCCATCTCTACTAAATATACAAAAACTAGTTGGGCGTCATAGCACATGCCTGTAATCCCAGCTACTCAGGAGGCGGAGGTAGGAGGATTGCCTGAACCTGGGAGGCGGAGCTTGCAGTGAGCTGAGACTGCGCCACTGCACTCCAGCCTGGGCGACAGTAACTCTGTCTCAAAAAAAAATTTTTTTACCCATAATATTAGCTGAAAAAAGAGAGAGATGTCCATTGCTAAAGCAGCTACTCAGGAAATGCAATCCTTCCTTGATGGCTCAAGAAAGCTCCCTGGCCTGTCTACTGTGCTCTCCATTGCCATATTTTTCTCCTCCCCATCCCCAAAATGATAATCAGCTATTTATGTCTATAAGGCCAGTATACTTACCACTTTGTCAAACTTTCTGTGTTTTATATAAGATCTTGCTTTTCTTAAAATATTGAACTGTTTGGAATCAGAAAGCAGTCTATAAAAAAAAAGAAAGAATAGGTTTAAAGGGTTTCCTCATTCCAAGTATATATTTCTTTTGTTTCCCTTAATTAAAAAAGACAGTGAAAATTACAAAACAACAAACAAAACAAAACAAAAATCAGAAATAGCTTATAGTTAAATTTGGTTTTCTTGACTCAAAGTTTCAAATGCCAAACTACATTTATGAAAGTCAAATAATCCATCATTCTGAAGAAATGTAATACTCTGGCTAACAAAGAAATTCTGATTAAATGGAAGTAATTAACAGAACACCAAATGTATGGCATGAGCTCTGCCACTCAGTTGTCCTGTGCTCACGACAGACTTCACATGATTGAGGACAGATCCATCAATGTACTTTTTATCCCTGAGCCAAACAGGGCCTGAGAATTCTCATTATCAAAGAGCTCCAGGCACAGCCTAACCATCATTGGAAGTTAATGAATAATTGGAATCTATTTGCTATTTTTATACTATATTGTATACCTTCTTCATTCCTCTTTCATTTCTCTTTCCACCATTTCCCTGTCCTGTTTTACCACAGTAGAAACATTAAATACACAAGAGAAATACTCCTAAAAAATACTGCATAACCCGAAATTATAGAAAACAAAAGTCATTAAGTTTATGGAATGTAGAAATTGAGGAAATATAACCAGAATTTAATTGCCTTAATGAAATAAATCGATACATTTAAATTCAAATTTGAATATATGCTGCTTAACTAAAACCTACCTGTCTAAAATGAATGCCTTTACATTTTAAAAATGCATGCAAAGTTATTTAAGGCTATATTAGGTTGGATCACATGACACTGATGTTTCATAGGCCAAAGACTACTAAATTAAATATTGGCAGTTGCACACAGGTCAACATAATATAATCACTTATCTTCTTTCTACTTGGCTCAAGCAGTCTCTGAAGAGATAGAACTGAGACTTGTACAAAGTAAATCTTTTAAGCAGTAATTATTAATTTGGGAGGGGGAAGGTCAGAGACTTCTTTCAGAATCTGAAACTCTTGTGTAGAAAATTTAAAATATAATTTCAGAAAATTCATAAACCCAGAAGCTTATCTATGAACTCCCTCAGAGTTCCATGGGATACTCTGATTAAGCATCTGTGCTTTGGCTTGGGACAGTGGCTCACGCTTGTAGTCCCAGCACTTTGGGGGACCGAGGTAGGAGGATCACTAGAGGTCAGGCGTTCGAGACCAGCTTGGGCAACAAAGCAAGCCCTCATTTCTACAAAAAATGAAAAAAGGATCTGTGCCTACTCTAAGAGCTCCCAGATATTCCAACTCATGGGAACCCAACCACCCTGGGTTCTCATGTTGCAGACTGCAGAAAAATTCCCCACCACTGGACTCACTGGGATTTGGAGGGAAAAGGTGCCAGGAGGCAAAAACACATGAAAAAAAAAAAACCAAGTTACTTTAAAATGTTGCTTTGATCCAGTTCTCTGTCCCTTCAGACACCATACATTTTGAAGTGTTTTCCCAGAAGCCTTAGTATAGCAATTACTGTGCCAAAGTGCACAGGCATTTTTTGGAAGGCTATATCTAAGTTGAGTTTCCCAAATTTCCATAAAAGCTTTCTAGTTGACCTCCTTCTTCTTGCTCTGATCCACTCAGCTTCCTAAAATACTGATTGCATCCTCTCACTTAAAATTGATACGGGCATCTCACGGTCTACTTCATCAATTCTAATCTTCCTGGACTACTGATGACCCTCTGCTGCTACTTCACTTAATTTCCCATTATCGCAAATGTGTACCCTCAGCTGCATAATGGTGAAACTCTTCAAGCTTCACCTATCTGGAATCGTAAAGATCTTCCCCTCTTTGCTTTCCAAAATCAAATATTCACCATCCTTTATGGTCCACTCCAAATCTCACTTCACATCATTAGCACTTCAGTTAGTGGTCTAATGATCAGTTTATTTCTCTTCAATTAAATTTTAACCTCCATGTGGGCCAAAGTAATGTCTTATATTCCATTAATATCCACAATAATACTTAGCAAAGTGCTAAAGCACATAAAATGAATCAATAAATCTTGATTACAATGCTATCAAAATATTGCAGACCTAAAAAAGGAAGAAAAATAAGAGACTAACATACATTGCCATTTGCAATGTACCTAAAATTTTAAATAAAAAGAAAGAAAAAAAGCTTGTTTGAAGCTAAATTATTTAAGCTAATTTAACAGACATTCTGTTAAGTGACGTCTTAGGAAGAATGAGAGAAAAAAAATCTTAAGGAGAAATATTTACATTACATATTATGCTATGTTATATTATATTGGAAGTACTAAGGTAAAGAAACAGGAGTCAGGGTAATTTGTAATTTTTCCTAAATGCACTATTTATAAACCTTGGGACATGCCAAAGGTAGCATATCAAAGATTTGCAATATATCTGGAATTCACCAAAATGTTCTACACAAGCCTCACTGTATCACCATGACATTAAAGACTCTCATACACTTGTCCCCAAATATAAGTTTTCTGTTTAGTTTTCCATCAGATTGAGAGGGAATATAAAGTAAATTTTCTTGGTATCACATACTTTAAACATAAAGAGGTTTTGTAAGAAATACAAAGTCTAGAATATAGAGTACAATACATTCAGATTTATGTAAGCAAAACCAAATAACAACAAAGTAAATGGGGGTTGGCAGGGGAGTAATTAAAATAATGCCATATATGAACTAAAATGAACAAGGGAGATCTACACATATAAACATGGATAAATCCTGAAAACCAAACTAAATAGAAAAAAGAATCGTTAGATAAAATAGATTTTTAAAATAGTCATTCAAGCATATCACACCATTTTATTCCCCACTCCCCCCAAAAAAGAATCTAAATATGGTAAAATGTTAACATTTTCTTAAACTTGAGTTGTGGGTAGAAAAATTTTTATTATATCCTCTATTCTTTTCAGCATGTTTGAAATATTTTACAAATAAAACTTGAAATATAACAAGAAGGATATACATATATCATGTATACTTATGTATTCTTATGTACTTCATCAATTATATTCTATCAATTCTTATCTACTTCATCAAAGCTATTTTTTTCAGCTCCCACATATGAGTGAGAACATGTAAAATTTGTCTTCTGTGTCGCTCTTATTTCACTTAACATAATGATCTCCAGTTCCACCCATGCTGCTGCAATGACAGGATTTCATTCTTTTTTATGAATGAATAATATTGCATCATGTATATATACCATATTTTCTTTATCCCTTAATCCACTGATGGGCACTTGGATTGATTCCATATTTTAGCTACTGTAAAGTAGTACTGCAATAAACATGGAAGCGCAGATTATCTTTTCAATATATTGATTTCCTTTCTTTTGGATATTATTGGATATTATTCAGACTGTATTCTTGTACATATGTATACGTGATATATATAGAGATACATAATAAACTGCAATTTTGCCTCCAAAGGAAAAGACTATAAGACTGGAACACAGGAGGAAAAGTGACTTTTTATTATTGTTTGTATAAATTTTATTGTGTTCATGCATTACTTGTTCATTAACACTTCAAAATAAAATGACTAAAACACTAAGATTTAACCATAGCTTCTGGTTATGCCAGAGAAGCTTTGGGCATAGCAATGCTCCCACCAAGAACAACTAGAAAGCCCAATAGAATAAATCTGAAGGTACCAAAACAATCAAGTAATGAAAGGCTAAGATCCTAGAGAGAAGGAAACCACAGGGAAGTAATCCAAAATTCTCCAAACTGTAACTCTGAGAGAATCTACCATTCTTATTCTTGGCACAAAGCAAAAGGCTGAGAATTAGGGGATATAGCTGCTGCCAGGAAGTAGAGAATCCAAGAGTCTGGCAATCTTGGAGGACTGGAGAGATAAAAATTAAAGTTTTTAGCTGCCAATGCAGCCAGAACTTGAGGACCTAAAAAGGAAGAAAAATAAGAAAACAATGTACATTTTCATTGTGGATTTTTTTAAAAAGACATTTTAAAAGTGCATCTGGAATTTTAAACTAACACATATTCTGAGGTGAAATCTTAAGAAGAGTGAGAGAAAGAGCTTTTATAAGAAAGAAATACTGTGTTATACTATATTATTTGGAGAACTCAGGTAAAGAAAGAAAGGCCAAGTCTTGGTGAGAAAAGAGGTGAAAAAAAAGGTAAGTCTGACACTCATTTGTGTAGAACAAGAGGACAAGAAGCTAAGAAGAATGCTCCTGAAAAGCAGACAGAAGTTTTGGTAGTCTCAAGATGTACAAGAGACAAAAATTGGTATTCAGTGACCACCAGAGAAGAAAGGTTCTAGATAATAGAAGGTCTGTATTGGGATCCCTGAGATACTACACTCTAAGAACAGAGATAAACCAGAGATCAAAGGAGGCTTAAAATTGCAGCACAGCCTTGAGTCAGCCACTACTCTTTGTGGCCATCAGAGGATAAGGTAAAATCTCTCTGGAGAAAAATGAAATAATCCAGAGATTCTAAAACTTTTAATATGTAAAGATAAGCATTCATTTAAAAACTACCAGACTTAATAAACAAGACCAACTGAAAAAAAAGAATAGAAACAAACTCACAAATGATTTAGTTATTGGCATTATCAGGTACAGATGCTAAAATAATTATGTTTACTATGTCAAGAAGACAAGACAGAAAATTGTACCAAAGAACAGAACCTATTTGTTTTTAATAATCAAAATGGAAGTTCTAGAATTTAAAAACATGTAACAACCAAAATTAAGAATTCAATAACAGCAATCTAGACACAGCAGAAGAGAAATCTGGTGTAACTGATGACAGAATCAGTAGAAAATATCTTGCCTGGGCTGGGCGCAGTAGCTCACACCTGCAATCCCAACACTTTGGGAAGCCGAGGTGGGTGGATCACTTGAGGTCAGGAGTTTGAGACCAGCTTGGCCAACATGGTGAAACCCAGTTTCTACTAAAAGTACAAAAATTAGCCGGATGTGGTGGTGCATGCC